AGCAGTTCTCATTGAGAAATCAGTATCATAGTTATGTATTAGCAGGAATTTCAGAGGCCACAGTCTATTAACTGGATGACAGTTGCATTTGAAGTTCTGTTATTTGTGTTAACATACTAAAAGTCTATCTTCTGACAGTTTGTGAAATGCAAGTTTGCAGATTTTAAACTGTATTAAACAGCTAATTCTTCATCTGTGAATTAAAGAAATAAAGGAAAAAAAATATATAAATCTCATAACTGATAGTGCCTAAAACTGAGCCTCATTATAGGCCAGTGTATATGGATTTCTCACTGTTGCATTGGCTGGTTTTGAGTACCCTAAATGATGGTATTTGGTGCCAGGATGGTCCAGTCCCTGTGGGTGGTGGGGTGAGGTGTGGTGTCGGTTGGTTTATATGCACAACTTTGTCAAGTCTGAGACTCCTAAAAAATAATTTTTTGCTTATAGACCTGCCTGTTACACTAAAGCAGAAATTTCCAGGCTCTCTGCATCGCAGATTCGCAATCTCAATCCTGTGTTTGGGGGATCGGGACCAGCTCTGACCGGACTTCGTAATCTAGGGAACACTTGCTACATGAATTCCATATTACAGTGTCTGTGCAATGCACCTCACCTGGCTGAGTATTTCAACAGAAACTTGTATCAAGCTGATATTAACAGGTAACAATCTCTCATCTGCCTTTATATTGGCCAATTCAAGAAGATCACTTGGTGGGGCTGTTTGTTTTTTTAAGTAGGAGCCAAATGGTAACTTCTGGCCACCTTGACATTTTCAAAATTCATTTGTGTCACTAAATAGGTTTTACTGGACTGTGATAATTAAATTATGGTCACCACATTCATAAAATACATGTGTGTTAGAGTGTCTTAAAACGAAACTGAATATTTAAATAGTTCACAAAATTATGCTGAAAACAGCTGTACCTTCCATCTGGAATATGGTGCCAAATTACAGGGTTGACATAGATGAAAATTTAACTCAGTCTAATAGCCAGTTTTCCTTAGTCTAAAGAAATTATTTTAAAATTGGGACCATGTTTTGAATTTAAAACATTAATATTAAAACCCAGTTATTTGAATGGCTCAGATTTTTTTTTTGTTTGTTTCTTATTTTATAGGTCAAATTTCCTGGGACATAAAGGTGAAGTGGCTGAAGAGTTTGGTGTAATAATGAAAGCATTATGGGCAGGACAGTATAAATATATCAGTCCAAAAGACTTCAAAATTACAATTGGGAAAATTAATGACCAATTTGCAGGATATAGCCAACAGGACTCCCAAGAATTGCTTCTCTTTCTAATGGATGGCTTGCATGAGGACCTAAATAAAGTAAGCAATACACTTAAAAGAAATTATATATCTGTCAGAAGATCAAGAGAAATTTTTAAAATACTTTCTTATTCCATAAGATTATATTACTTTAACCTTATATATAAAGAAATGTGATTATTCAGAATTAAAGTAGGAATTCTGAAGTTGTAGGTATAAGGTGGTGGAGGGAGACACAGAAGAAGCCTCACTAGACAAGAACTGGATGGCTACACTGACATGTTTAAATATTCCTGTGAATAATCAATCATATGCTTGCCTATATGAGATTTCTTACTTACATATATGTTAATATATTGCTGTGGTATTTAAACTTCTGCGATCCAGGCTGACAACAGGAAAAGATACAAGGAAGAAAATAACGATCACCTGGATGACTCAAGTGCAGCAGAAATAGCCTGGCACAAACACAAACAGCTCAACGAGTCCATCATTGTGGCACTGTTCCAAGGGCAGTTCAAATCCACCGTGCAGTGTCTGACGTGTCACAAGAGGTCCCGAACCTTCGAGGCTTTCATGTATCTCTCATTACCACTTGCATCCTCCAGCAAATGCACTCTGCAGGTATGGGCAACTGGAGAGAAACTGCTCCTGCAGTGCCAGCTGGCACTTGGTTGTGATGCTGCTGCTGCTCACCCTCTGCTTCAAGGGGTTGGTCAGCATTCTGCTTAATTTGCATTGACCTGAAACATGAACAGATCTGAATCTGCATTTTTTTTCAAGTCTTCTAAAGTTTAAAGAAATAGGTCATTCCTTAAAAGTTTTAAGTTAGCAGGAGGATGGAAATGCTGAAGCTGCAATAGCAGCATGTATAATTACTTGCTTTGGTAGGTCACAATGTAAGTATTCTGTGGTTTTAAACAAAACATTGTCTGTACATTTTGAAGGAAACTAATTAATATCTGCAGTAAAACTTGCTTCCACACATAGATTTAAGTCACTTTTCCTCAGTGAAATGTAGGATGCAGATAACCAATGCAGGTTAACAACCAAATGGGAAATAAGCATTTTTGTTATACTTGCAAAAACACCTACTATTCACAATCTCTGTATTTTGTTTTAGGAATGCCTTAGATTGTTCTCCAAAGAAGAAAAGCTCACTGATAACAATAGATTTTACTGTAGCCATTGCAAAACTCGAAGGGACTCTTTGAAAAAAATAGAAATTTGGAAATTGCCACCTGTTCTTCTTGTGCACTTGAAACGGTAAGGAAATGGTGATTGGTGGATATTAATTAGGATGAACTGACCAGGCTTTAGTGGAACTGGATTGTTCCATGGCAGTGGCTGAGCATTTTAACTTAGAGAAGGTCACAGATACATTACCAGTTGTAATGGTGCAAGAATTTGATTTTCATCTGATGCTTCTTTTATGAGGCTGTAACTCCCAAGGCACTTTCACAAGTGATCTCTTGTTATTTTTGCTAAGAAACACATGAGCAAATGTTAACAGAACTGGGGGCTTTAGTTGAGATCACATCCTGGTTAAAAACAGGGAAAACGAACATGCTTAGTACAGTGGAGTAGCTTGTGAGCAGCCTGTAACTTTTCATGGTGCTTTTTAATTCTCTAGATTTTCCTATGATGGAAGATGGAAACAAAAGCTTCAAACTTCAGTTGATTTTCCACTGGAAACTCTTGACCTCTCTCAGTATGTTATTGGTCCAAAGACTTCCTTGAAGAGATACAATCTGTTCTCAGTATCGGTGAGTAACCAGTCACATTTCAAACCCCAGCTGCACTTTATGCCAGGACTCAGGGTGGCCTGTGTGATTCAGCCAGGCTGCATTGTAGTTACAGATTAAGTTGCATTCTGAAAAAGAACAATTGGGATTTAGTAAAAATTTAATGTTCTAGATTATTTCCCTAACCAGGGAAGAAATGGCAGCTTTGAAGATCACTAACCCTTGCCTTACATTCACAGAATCATTACGGTGGGCTGGACGGGGGGCACTACACAGCCTACTGCAAAAACGCTTCAAAACAGCGCTGGTTTAAGTTTGATGACCACGAAGTGTCCGAGATCTCGGCGTCCTCGGTGAAGTCCTCAGCTGCTTACATTCTCTTTTATACTTCCTATGAACAGCGAGCAGTAGACATGGCCACGTAAAGGAATGTGGCTTAAGGAAAGTGGTTTTCTTTCTTCAAGAGCAAAGTAGGCCTGGGAATGCATATAAATATGCAGAAGTGCAGCAGACCCAGTCACTGGTGGGAGGAGCAGGGTGTCTGCCAGCAGGGCTCGCTGGGGCCGTAGCAGTGCTTCACAATCAGAGACCAATGGGCAATGCTTGTGGTCATACTGCCATCTGTGGAACCATTTACGAGCATACTTGCATTACTGTTTATTTAAAAAAGAACTATATTTTTAGTCTGCTCCAAAATTAAATTCTAGCTTAGTCATCTGAAATCTATTAACAAGTAGTTTAAAATGTCTTAAAATCCCAAGGCATATCTTGGTTTATTTTTTTCTTTCACTGTTAATGGCCTTTTCACATTTCTAACCTTAAGCTTGACTCTACTGTGAATACTCTAGAACGATGTAAACAGTTAGGAATGTAAGTGTACATATTGATTGCATACTTGCACATCAGAATTATGTATATAATAAAATGTTGTCCTTTTTGTGAGAATCTCTAAAACTCAGAGGATTGCATTTATTTGCCAGCTCTAAGTAATAGCAACACTACTTAATAAAAAAGCAGAGCTGTATTATTTTTTCTGTTAGCTTTTGTCAATATTTGTGCACTTCAGAGTTATTCTAAACAAACAAGATTTTCCTTTTTAATTTTTTAATATAAATTTTCATGTACACATGCATTAAAAACCTTAATGAAGAAATTATTTAAAAATATATCCTGTTAAATGTACGTTTGGGTTTGGTTTTTCATTCTCAGCTGTTACGTAATGATCAAGATTGTACATAATAACAGTCTGACTCATACTTACACAGTTTAAAGGTTCTCCACATAAAAATACTGTTTTGCATAGAGGTGATTAGTTTAAAAACTTTTAGTTGCATCTTACATATTTCTCTGCTATGGATTAGGGTTAGTTTTCCTTTTCTGATAAGGCTGGCATTCAAAAGTCTTAAATTCTGAGCTTTTACCTGTCTGTCTGTGTCTGTCTTGCTGATGGAATTAAGACCAATATTGATTGTTTTCCAGAAGCTTGCAAGCTGCAAACAAGTTTGAAGTGCTGGAGAGAAAAAAATGACATCAGTAGAGCAATGCCTTTTTCTTTTTTCTGTATTAATGGTCACTCCATCCTCTCTTCTGTAGCACAGTCTGGTCTGGTTGTGTGCTTTCACTTTGGTATCCTTCTGTTAGTTCCTGAAAGGCAGCTTAGAACAACCTACTATACTTAACCAGCAGAAAAACAAGAATTTCCAGGTAAGTGCATCTGTGTGCTCAACATCTGTGTTGTTTTGAGGGGTGCAAGAAGGTTGTCATGGAAAACAACCCTGGCCCTTGTGCACATGGAGCAGATGCACATTCCTTCATGGCTTAGGGCTGTCACTGTCCTTTCTAGGAGTCACTTCCTGAAAGACCACGACAGCTGATCAGTGGTGCACATGCTCTGGTTTATTGATGAAACTGGAGTTGGCTAATGCTGCTGGTGAATTCTAGGTGCTGCCCTACCCAGTGTTCATTTTCAAGACTAACAGGGTGTCAGTAGCCTTGGGAGATGTAGAAGAGGAGGTAAGCTGTGTCAGCCTGCACTGCAGAGTCTGGGATCTTGGTGACCTGGGCATCATCAAAGCTGTACCAGTGTTGGGTGATTGAGTGCTTGCAGAAGGCCGTGTAGTGGCCATAATCCAGATCTCCAGCATGGTTCTGTAACAAACAACACAGTCTGTTAAAACCAAACTCCTGTTCTGTCTCCTTACAGGCAAAGCTAGGAATTGGCAATGGTTTTATGAATGCACTTGGAAAAGATGGCACAGAGGGTTTTAGCCCTTTTTGGCCTAGGGCAGGGAATGTTAATTCAAATAAATTCAAACAGAGTAAATGGATGATGATCATGCTTATTTATTTTGCAATTACATTTGCAACCCAACTATTAGCCCTGGTACAAGTCACTATAAGAGGACCCCATTGTTGTGAGCCATGTCCTTATTTAAAACCAGGATTCATGCTGGATCAGCCTGCGAGTTTACTCTGAAGAGGCATTATGTGCCAGGAGAGCATTCTTTTAAAACTGGGATGTTGGGGAAGAAGGAGAAATAATGTCTCTGTCCTTCAGTTACATACTGTTACTGGATTATGTCCATGGCTGGTAGAAAAAAGTGTACAACAAAACAGATATTAAATTAAAAAACCTTTATACATGAAGTCCAAACCAACACAGGCTTCATCTGCTCCATGAGGCAGGGCATTCCCAATAAAAGCAGGAAGGGCAAAGCTTACCACTACAGCACACAAGCTGTACTCTGTATTGTTGTGACACGATGTGGAGATGTAGGGAGAGAGATCCAGATCACTGAATGGATAGCAGACAGTGGTTGAGAGTTTCCTTCGGTGCTTGTCCTGCCAGGCAAACCTGAAATGAATTTTTGGACTATTTTAAATGACCCTCAGCTTCTGTTTGTGTTGTGGTGATTGCTTAACTGACTTTCCTAGGAGGAGGGAAAACCATCAACTGACTACCCAGCATTTGAAACAAAGATCTGTGGTAATGCTGTGTATTGCAGGTGTCCAGCAAGAAAAGCAAAGCTCTTGCTTCCTGATCCTTCAGCCAAAGCCTGAAGTCATATCTGTGCGTCACTCTCTCCGTGTCCTAAACATTTTGGACAGGACTGCAGTGCCAGTGTCAGCTCTTCTCTCATGCCAGACTTCATCCCTCTTCCCTCTGTAACTTTGAGTACATCACTGCACTTTTTATCATTTACAGTGTGGCCAAGAGCTGCAGCTGGGGACCACATGTCCTTTGAGAATGTTGAGAAAAGCAGATGCTGAATGGAAAATTAAATAAGAACTTCAAATAACATAGTTCTGGGAAGTCAAATCATCCCAGAGTAGTTTTCTTTATAGGTGGAAAGTTGTTAAGAAAAAAAATTCTTTAGAATAAATTCAGCATCTGGCTATGTGTGGCTAGTGAAATCTGTTAACCCAGGTGCTCCTTTGCTGATGCACCACTCTGATTTGGTAAAGGGATAAACAAAACCAGAGTGTCTCAACTGCAGTAGCAGCAAGCAAAGCACTGTGTCAGTCCTGCTTTTGGAACCCAAGCCACAGGCTCTGAGCTGCCACAGGAACTGATTCACAGGGACCATTCAGGGACTGGATGAGCCACTGCACTGGGCTGTAGTCAGTCACTGCTTGCTGGAGTTCTCTTCCCTCTGGAGAGCAGATCCCAAGTATAGGGAGAAATTTGATGGCCTGCAGGACACAGGCAGAAGACTGTACATGAAATTCAGGAATGCAACTTGCATGTTTGACAGCTGTATTTGTGTAAATGCCCTTTTAGCTTTCAGGTTTCTAAACTACTAATCCCACTTATTTGCAGAGATCGGTTTCCTTTCAGGCAAACACAAATGACTGTCCTTCATGACTCACATTACCCAGGAGCTGGCTATGTCCTACCTCACTTAGACTGTACCTCTTTAGATGAAAGATGATGATCTGTGGTGCCTTGGTTATGGAGGCCTTTACTGTTGCATCTTGGTTGCTTCCACACCAGTAGCAGTGGATTTGGTTGTTCTGAGTCAGGGTGTCTGGCTGAAAAAAGCATTCCAGGCAGTCCTGTCAAAGGAAAAAAACCAAACATCACTTGATTGAACACATCTCCCTCCACCCATGAAGGTGCTAAGAGATGAATTTGCTCCCCCTAACTGAAGTGTGATGCAGCAAGGCTGACATTACAAATTTGCAAGACAAAGCAGCCAATATTGGTTTCCATTCTCCCCACCAAGGCAGAAATACTTGGATGACTGGGAGAAGCCTGAAAGACTTGGATGACTGGAAGAAACTTTCATGGCTTCTATTGAATGATCTCAATATCCTTCATTCCCTGGCACCTCGTGAGCACTGCTCCTGTAACCTTACCAGCTTCCATGGTTCTGAGACCAGTAAAGACACCCCATATCTAGGGACAGATCCAAGACATTCCATTAGTGCCCAGGAGACCAAAGTAACTAAAGCCCTGCCTTTTTTCAATAAAACCTATTAGTCTAAGCCTCTTCTCCCAGATGAAGCAGAAACCAGCAGGAAGGTGCTGGCTGTTGTACCTGCAGAGAGCACACTCTGGTGGAAGGGATGGGCAGGGAGAGGACAGTGAAGCTCTCGGGTCTGTCACTGAGGGCTTTGCATCTCAGACACCTGATGGCATAACTGAGCTGTCCCTCAAATAAGTGTGTTACAATAGATGTGCCACTGCTACTCCTTGTGCTTGCTCCTGCAGCAGAGCTCTGTCTTTCTTGGCTTGGCTATACAGAAGGAAAAAAAATTGAGAAAATGTAGATTTGTTTTGAGAAGTGCCCTCACTGGGTTTTAATAGGTGCTGCCCACTCCCTGGGTTGATCAGTTGTTAGTCTTGCCACAGAACATGGCTCTAAAATGCTGTTACTTTACTTGATGGTTTATACATGTAGAGTAAGATTGATTCATTTTCTGAGAGAAAAGTAACAAAAATACAACAATTCAGACATTTGATAGCATTAATTGCTTGAAAAGCTCTTTATCAGTGGCTCTGGAGGGGATAAAGTCATGGGGGCATGGCAGACATGAAGTTTTCAGGCAGATGAAAAAGTGGAAGAACATTAACTGTGGAAGGAGAAAGGAGATGAGGTTAGGACAGTGAAGCTACACCAGCATTGTCATTTAGATGGGGCTGCAGTTTGATGGAGTATTAGATAAGAAGCAAATTAATAATTGTGTGTACATGGGTCTGAAATAAAGGTAGAAAAGGAAAGTTATTAGTGGCCCCATCACAGAGTTCAGAAGAGGATGATAGGCAATTATTACATGAAATGCTAAGTCATAAAATGCAGAGGAAACAGCTGTAGTTCCCAAAACACCACAGCTGGGCTCTCACCTGCTTGAAAGCCTCGTGGAGGTCATCCAGGACACAGATGAGGAACTCCTGTGCATCATGCTGAGTCCTCCTGCTAAAAGCTGGGTACCGCTTCCCAAAGACAGAGTGAAAAGCCTCAGGGGAAACAAAGTCAAACTCTCCAAGCCACATGTCAGACACCAAACAGCCAAAGGCAGTCGCAGACTCTCCAATCTCCCTTGGAAAAAAGGGGAGAGTTTCAGGTGATGGATGAAAAAATAGTGTCTGCCTTCAAGTGGGAGCACAAGACAGAAACTCAGAAAGCAGATGCTGGTAGGGTACAGCTTTGGCAGCTGTCACTTGGCTTGAGGGACTCTGCAGATCCCAGAAAGTGGTAGGAATCATCATCAAGACAACATTAAGAGGTATTACCATCAATATGGGAAGAAAAGTATCGTGGCTGAAGGACCAGCAAGGAATAGGGCTGGGCTCTCAAAGGAGAAGGAAACCAGCTGGTGGCCAATCTGACTGGAACTGCCTGGGGGAAGCTGGCAGGTGCCTTGGACATTCTCATGGCAACATATCCTTTGGCAGGAAAATAGTGCCAAGCAGGAAGCCCTCAGTACTGTGAACAAACCAACTCACTCGTGCAGGGCTGTGTTCCACTTCCCTGAGAGGAAATACTGCACGAGCGGGGTCAGGCTGCAGAGGCACTGCAGCACTGCGTTCATGTAGCACGTGTTCTCCAGGTTCTGCAGCCCTGTGAGCCCTGGGTGCAGGCTGCTCATATCCTCCAGCTGTTCCTTGGGGGAGTACTTCCATTTCCATGCCATCCTTCCACCTACTATGAGAAAAATCCACAACAGTGGAAATCTAAAATGCTACCGTTTCTTTTTCTTCACATTTATTCTTCTTCAAATTTATTTTCACCAGGTTTATAGTGGTGAAGACTCTTCACATCTTCCCCACTAAGCTCTTTCCAATATGGTAAGATACATCATTATGAGGTGTTATTTAAATACCTGAGGTTTTAAGACTTATTCCTAAAATTCTATTCAGTCTTTTACTCCATTCAGTTACTCAAAAACTACCACCACTTGTGAATAGCCATCTCTAGGGCAAAATGCTTAATAGTGCATATTACATTATATTTCATTTCCTCAGGTACAGTACTCACCTATTTTCTAAAACCATTGGTTGCAGTCCAGATGCTACTAGAAGCAGGTTGTTCTTCAGAGTTTTGCTCTAAAATGTTACTTAATTCATGTTAGGAAAATTTTAGCATGTTTGTTTTCTGGCTGCAAAAGTCTGTCCTGGACCTAAGTGTCTCCATCCCCAATGAGACAGTTAAGATGCTGAACACAGACTCTACACCACCCCCATCTGCTCACCAATGTTGCTGTTCTTTTTTAGAGGCTGATGTTCTATTCTGAGGCAGGGCAGAGAACTCCAAACCCGCAGCAATCTCCGTAGAGCAAAGACGAGCAGTGCCCCGTGTGTTCAGTCCCGTGTTCCATCCTGTCACCCCAGCTTCTCCTGCCCCAGCCCCTTGTGATGTCACCTGGTAACACTGGCCAGGGAACACACCTGGCCACACCTGCCTCCATCTCCTTCCCTGAGCCAGCCAGAACAGAAAACTTTGGGAAGAGAGGGGCACCCACCCATTCCACTGAGCAGGGAGCTTTGGCCCCTTTATCCGTGTTTGCTCACTTGGATTAGGATTTATTATTGCCATGCTCTGCTGGAAGGGCAGTGATGACTGAGGGTGTTGACCATAAAGGGATGGAGCTACCTCAAAACATCATAATGAATTAGCTTCTGGGTGTTATGAGGATTTTCCTGAGGGAAGAAAAAAAGGTATGGCAAATGGCTTTTAATTAGCTATGTTAATGCAGGTCATCTCTAAATTCCATATGCCACTGAAGAGCAGCAGTTTTTCCCTATTTAACAGACAACTTGGAATGTAACAAGTACCCACAGAAGAGGCCCATGAAGTGATGTAAAAAACCTCCTAATCATCTTGTTAAATTTCAAGCAAAGGATGTCTCCAGCACTCCTGGGACAGCTGTTACTGCTATTGACCCCTCAAAATCTGGTTCAGTTTTGTAAATGGAACTGGATATGTTTATTCCCACTTTTTGTGGAATCTGAATCAAGACTTTGACTTACTATTTTAATATAACAAGATACACAAATCCACATGGGTGCCACCAACTGCAAGCTCTGGGGCTGAGAATTAACTTCCCATTACTCTCACCACAAAGTGCCTTATTGCAAGGAAAAGTGTTAATCGAGAAAAGAACTGTTAAACCATCAGAACTTTTTCAGAGGCCTTGTTACATATTAAAAAGTCCTATTTTTTCCCAACTGGTCTTTTAGGAACATTTAATATGAACTGTTACTACTAAGTCTCCAGCTGTAGTCTTTTTCCCTCTCAAAATTCCTGCAGTGTTGAGAGTTATGGCATTAAGTGAGATGCAATCACAAAGATTTAACATGTAGGAAATCACTGTCAGGCATAAAAACCAAACCCCTCCTTTTCCAAACCACAAGGCTGCTGAGCAGCAGCTAAAAAACCAGTTCCCCAGGAGCTGGTTGTATATATTTTGCCACAATGCATTTGGGATTGGCTTTCTCTGAAATGTTTCACCACCTAAATACTGCAAGAAAACAGTCAACAATGGCTTTTAATTAATCACCAAAGTCTAAATTATGTAGCTTAATTACTTCCCTATAGGATAAATACCCTTTTAAATACCCTCCTAGTCGGAAACTAACTAAAGCATTTCAGATTTTGACTAAAAAATAATTAGAGATGGTTTGAATTATATCCCTCTATTTAAAAGCTAGGTTCTAAGAAGACATGCCAATACTTTAGTTCTTGAATAGTTATCAGAAGTTCCAGTTCCATCACTTTTCTCCTTTTTGGTAAAGGAAATTTAAAATCTAAAAGATCACAACTCCCCCTATTTATAGAGCATTTCAAGACTGATGAGGTTTCAGCAAAGGAGCCACACTTGATGTTCTCAAATAAATTGAATTCCATGGAATAGTTTTCATCTTCCTACTGCCCAACAGGAGCAGGATGTGGGTGGCACTGTCCAAACAGAGTCAGGCTTCTTTTTCAAACTAACTTGTTTTTGTCCTTTGCCACCACACTTTTCCAATTCCTTCCCTAAAGGGTACTTGACATTTCTGATTTTTTTCCCTGCAAGTATGAGGCAGATCACTTCTGAAAGTTACACATTTCTCCCCCCTCAGTTCAGACATACACTTCCCATGTAATTCAAGCTGTAAGTCACACAGAGAAAGCTACTGCTCATGCCAGGCAGATGTACAGAAATATGAACAGTGGTTACCACTCCAAATCTTACAGGCATTTCCCAACCATATTTGTCCCTTTTGGTCTTGAAAAAGCTTCAAGCCTGAGTCACTGCAAGACTGAGCAGAAGGAGTACTCCCCATGATCACTCACACCCATCACAAGGTGGTCACATCTGTTTATTTTGCTAAGAAATGAGTCACAAACAGAACTACCAAAGAGCAGTAACACAGCTAAAAAATAACTGTGTAGTTAAGTATTTGTCAAGAAACAAAGTTTGCCAGCTTTTACTTGCAATTTTCTCAAAATGTTTTTCTTCTTTCATACACTGAAATTTGGTCACATTTTCAAAACACCAGAGACTCCTCTGGAAATCTCTCAATTTGCAGAGCCACTCACACTTTCAGACTCAGTGCTGCTGTTACTTGGCATTAGAAAGGTGCAAGTACATTTGGAGTATCTGCCCAATCCCTCCCAGCAACAGGAGGTGATGCAGTCAGAAGAAGCAGCTCATAATTAAACATTGTGAAGAGCTATTTTTGACTCATTTACTCATTAATCCCCTCACATGTGTTTGGCAGCTATGACAGTTTTCACTTTTTTACCTCCCTAGTTTTTGGTGTTGGCCCAAGTTGTGATACCTCAAAGGCTAACAGCTGCTTTGATCCAGCGTGGCAAATTCTACTTTTCTGCATAAAGAGTTACTTAAATTCACCAAAATAACCCTTCAGACTGAGACGGAGAGCAGAAGTCTGTAAACAAGAATAAATTTATTTTAGATTCTTTAAAGATTTAATGATATACAAAATGTATACAGTATTATATCCTTATAACATTTTACCTTTCCCCATCAAACATAAAACACCATTTAAACAACTATTGTGTTCGTGCCTTAGGTCTGTATCTATAAGATACACTACTGAATAAAAAATTTATAGAGCTATATACTGCCCTTTTAATTAAAAATTACAAATTAGTACCTATGTAACAAAACAAAAAAAATCGCAGCATGAAACTTCAGTTGGACAACAGGTTCTTTTCTTGCTGAATGCTCAACAATATTTGGGACAGTTAAATTACATTTTATTGGCATGAAGGTGCATTGCAATCTCCCGTACTTTACACAATGCTAATCCAACCCTAGTCTCTCTTAAGTAAGTACCACAAATAACATAACATTAAAGATGTTTTCTACACAATTTTAAATACATTTACAAGTTATGTGTACATTCGGTTTCGATACACTGGTTTTAGGAGATCTTTGGAAGGCAGAACTTCTGAAGCAGTCACTACGTAGGTACAAGGGAAAGCACTTCCAACTTGTGTTCTTACAAGGCAACTTATTTGGACCAGCACAAACTAATTCTTCTATTAAATATGATTATACCAGTCTATCATGGCTTTGTTACTATTTGACAGTGACTTGATAAAATTGAAATGTGTAAAACAAGAAATTTCATTATGCACAATTCAGGCTCTATTTCACAAAACAAAAGCAACCAAGCTCAGTTTTACAGTCATGAAGCTGAAAGAATCCTGATTCAAGAGACTCTCTCTCTCTTTTGGAACAGATCAAGTTCCTACCTTCAACTTCAGTCTATTGGCATCCTATATACACCTCATTTGGCTCTGTCCTCTTCCAAAGGCCAGATTAAAAGACACCTGGTGAGAAAATATTAGTGGAACACTTCTGAAAACACTCTAAGAATACTCTGGCATTACAGAGGTAGGTGCTTTCTCCTGGTTTTGCTCATTGACAGTAAGACAAATGCCAAAAAGACAAATGCTTTACCTTAAAACATCAACTACCAAAATCCTTTTGGTGGAAGGCATATTTCCCACCACAGGACTACAGGAAGAAAATCCTCCACTAAACCAAAATAAAATAAAAAATAAAACTTTCTGCTTTAAAAGCCCCTTTAAAAACACATCTTAAATACTTGTCATTATTCCACCTTTAGAAGGATCAGCTGCCACGCTGCTCTGTAGACGGTTATCACAAGGTAAAATCCTCAGATTATGGACCAGCCAAAATTCCACTTATAAGACAGTAATCCTTGTTTTGACAAGTCTTTCTTTTCATTATAGTGAGGGAAAGGTAAGTGACAACTTGGTGAGGTTCCACAAAGCTTGAGCGAAGCCACTGAGTTGATCACATCATCAGAGCATCAGACGGATGGAATTGGCCGGATCAGAATCTTTGGTGCAGCTTCCAGGCTGAATTGTCAATTCAGGGGCATCGTCCTGAGGAAATATCATCTTGTCAGGTGTGTAGTCATTCCTCTTCAGATCTGTACAAACAGAACAAAGTCATAATGATTACTGTTTCTTGAGCTAGTAGAATCAATGGGGCATAAACGTCTAGCAAAGAATTGGATATGCAAGTGCACTTATGAAGATGAATTCCAGGATATGCACTATCAAAAAAGGGATGTTTTTATCATAGGTGCAATCAGAAGCCTAAAGTCAAATGACATAACTGCTGTTTATTACTTGTTCCACTTTCACAGCATGCCTTAACTATTTCATTATGTATCATACAACATCTCATGACATCAGTGTCTCAGAAGGAGGGTCCTGCAGCTCTTACCAGGAAGTTTCAGTTTCCTGCAGCAGGAATTACAGTGGTGCTTTGCTCTGAAGTTTTTTATTGCATCCTCTCCCAGATTGGCTGGCCCGAACACCATATCGTATGACCTTAGAGACAAAGTACACATAAACATCCCTTGCACGTGTTCTCTTTCCAGGGAAAATTTTATATAATGCTTTAAGGCTTTCTTAACCCTTACCTTTTTTCCCCAGCTTTTATCACAGAGGGATCTGTCAAATTTTCACCAACACCTTCAGACAGCACATGAAGAAAAAGTTAAATCTGATACACTTCTGATTACATAAATATATTAATATTAAAAAGCCTTGGAACCCTTAGCTGTGACTTCTCAGCTTTTCCAAGAATAAAACCAGAAAAAACCCACAACAAACACAACCTAAACTACACATGATTCTCTACCCTTAGAAAATTGCTCCTAAGCAAACACTTTGTACTTCTCAGATATCTTCCATCTATTTTTTGCATTTCCTAGCTTGAGTTTTCACCCATGAGAAAAATCTCATATGCAGTTCTCACTGCCAGAATATCTGGCACAGAGTTCAGGATAAAACCCACTTACCACACTGGCACTACACAAATGTGCCAAAAAATAGCATTTTTTATGGCACATTTCATTAGGAAAATATATCTATTTATAGTTTCTGTGTTGCTGTAAGATTTAATGCTATATTAGAACTAAAAAGCTGGTGAAGGGTGTGGAGCACAGGTCCTGTGAGGAGCAGCTGACAGAACTGGGGGTGTTTATCCTGGGGAAGAGGCTCAGGGGAGACCTCATCACTGTCTAGAACTACCTGAAAGGACACTGTAGCCAGGTAGGGGTCAGTCCCCATCAGGAAGACAAGAAAATGGCCTGAAGTGCAATAGGGGAGGTTTAGGTTGGATATGAGGTAAAATATTTTCACTGAAAAGGTTGCCCAGCACTGGAACAGCTGCCCAGGGAAGTGGTGCAGTCACCGTCCCTGCAGGGATTTAAAAGCTGTTTAGGGGTGGCCCTTGGGCACATGGAGTGTGCTGGATTTGGCAGTGCTGGGTAAAGTTGGACACAATGCTCTTAGAGGTCCTTTGCAATATTTATCATAATATGATTAAATAAGAAAATCATAGATCCTAACTAACTAGAAGAAGCAGCACTAAATAATCCTTGTTGTTTATTACAAATATACAAATTCTTAACAAAATGCTAGCAAAAAGAAAAACCCTAAAAATAGATAATATTAAAACATAGATAATAAAATAGACCTTGGTCCCAATGCAAGTTTCAAAGTCAGGGCATTACCTTGCAGATCTAATACCAACAGTTCTCCTCTTGTATACTCATATGTCCAGTGGCTGAAGGCCAGCATAACCTCCTCCAGCATGTTAGTTGGGATTATTTCATCCCCATTATTGTTATTGTATTTTCTAAACTCTCCAGTCATGCACTCTTCAACTGCAAACCACTGGCCAGCAGAGTGGCAATATAACAGGAAAACTTCCAAGAACCTAGTAAAAAGTACACTTAATTAATATAGCTCCAAAATAGGAATCTATCATTACTGTTAGACTTTTATTTTATTTACTAACAATTTAATTACTCTTAAACTATTACACAAAGCCATTTAGATTAGCCCACTAGATTAGAATCAGTGCAGAAAATATGAGGGGAAAATACTGCCAAGGACAATTCTGCTTGCCTCATTCACAGCAATATTCCAAGAGATATCAGCATACGAGTATCTTAACATATGTGATGCATCTGTTAACATCCTGTAGGCATTGCCCTGAGCCAAAAGCATGCAAAATAATGGCAGTTTAAATACACTCACCTTGGAGAGTATGGGATGGATTTGGGCTTCATCTGGTTGAATGCAAAGGTGAGCTTCTGTGCTGCTCTCTGCTGCTGAATTTCCTGTGAGTCAAACCCATGCCTCATTAGCTGCTTAACAGAACAGGGACCAGCAGAGAGCCAAGCAGGCAGTGGGAACAGTGTCTATTCCCCCAAGGCAGGGTAACAGATTACTTGCTTTTTAAATTATATCTGTATTTTAAGAATTGGAGCTCTTTGATTAAATAAGCCATCCTGGAGCAGAGTTTTTAACCCTTTTGCTCATACAGAACCCTAGGCTAAGTTTTTCTTATTCTAATAAGTTTATACTAGTTTACAGGTAGCAAAATAATTCCTGTTTAACATATAAAGCCTGTCTGTGTTTAATAATTGTCAAAGAACTTACCCTCAAGCACAAGTGCAACACAGTGTCCTCCTTATAAATGCTTGACCAAGTATTCACAACTTCAGGAAGAAAAGACTTGATGATGTAAAGATGTCCTGATTTCAGGATATCATATTCTGACCACGTGCACACAACTTTGAGAGCTCGACGTAAACCTCCTCCCATCTCCTCTTTACTTAAAAATTCAATTTTAGCACAGAGCCCCAGCTGTGACCAGGAGGACATGCTGTTGTTCAGGATGCTGGGAGAACTCTCTTCAAGGCGATACACAGTGACTGGTTCACCTGCAGCACAGCACAAAAGCCAGCGCTGAGCTGAATCTTCCAAGTTTGAAATGAAAAGCACTGAAAACACACCACTTCTTACAATAAGCTGCAGTGTTAAGTCAGTACAAACATCTTGAATTAACAAAAAATTTAAACTGCCCAGTGGGGTGACCCCTCTGCAGCTTTTTTCACAGAGCTGCAAAATTTGTCCTCCTATTTAGACCTATTAATGACACTGTTCAAAACTGTTCAAACAGCACTAAGAACACTGAATAAATGTTTAAAGTTCAAATGAGTGAAGACAACTTAAAGGAATCCTTCCAGAATATTTGTTATAAAACTGTTAGTACAATACTCCCATCACTGTAACACCATTTCTGAGGACAACTATAATTAAATCTACATTTCATAATCAAGTGAGTTGCCCTAGAAAAGGTGTCATACTCACATATATTTCTGAGTGTTCTAAGACAGACTTCTTTTAGTTCATTAAGACTTCAGTTTCACACTTGCTGTGAGAAACTGTGAACTTTGCCTTGATCTTTCTATATCAGATCCTTCTATATTAGATATATATAATATATATCCTTGATCCTTCTATATTAGAAGGATCAAACCAAATTAGAATCCACGTAAGGTTTGCTTTTCTTCCCCAAAAGACCACAGTGAACCAGCAAGAAGAAATACAGTTCTTACCTCTTGGAGGCACAGGAGTGAATGGAATGCTCTGTGATAATCTCATCAGGTTATTTCTTTCTACAGCTAGAGGAAAATTACAGCATTTGTTAAAGTTTAAGGATCTTATAAATGTAAATAAAATTACAGGCATTAGTTTGTAAGAGGGACTGACCTGAGTAATAGTAATTGATATCCATGATAGGCTTGAAAGGAGAAGCAATGCCTGAAAAGAGATTAAGGAGAAAAAAGAAGAAAAAAAGAGATACTCTGGCTACTAATTTATGTACTAAAATACCACACTACAGTTTGAAAAGGATCTGCTGTGAAGATAACTAAATATTGCACTTAAGTGTATGGTACCTCAGGGGGAAAAAATGTAGTGCTTAATGCTTGGCTCTTTATTTAAAATTTTTTTAAAAATATTTAAAAATCACAGTATTGTGTGTCCAATAAATTCCAAATTATGATCAATTAAATACGTTCCCATACAAGACCCAAGCAGTTGGTTAAACATAAAAATCTCTCACCTTTAGAGCAGAAAGAAAACTTACCATTCAATGCATCTTCTTCTGATGGCCTGTCAAATGCCAAAAACAACAGTCACCTTCAAACTTACTCTGTACTCCCTGATTTTCACACCTCATCCTAGGTCACCTTGTTAACCTCACAGTACCACTTTTATCCTGTTATCCTATTTTTCAAGGGCAGTACAGGTTTCTTAATTACAAAATAGTAATGGAAAGCTGTTAAGTAATCTCATGTTTTACAGCTACACTTTAAATACCTCCAAGTCATGCACAACATTATGGTAAGTTTGCATCACAAGAGCTCATTCCCACAGAGGTGCTTTAATTAAAACTTGTTCACAACAGTTTACCCTTCTGTTATCAGATAAATAAGCTAATGCCTTTAACAGTTAACTCAGGGGGTAATTGTTAACAATGCATAATTTCAGAGGTGGTTACAGTGGGAAAGGCTGGGTAAAGACCTTTAGCAGGAAACGAGCTGCTCACTATGTGTCAAGACATTTTCATGGTTGCCCTCCAATGTGTGACACCATTAATCTAAACAGAACCTGTCAAAGCATGGTGAGAGCTCGGCCTGACCCCCCCATGAGCACCTGCAGCCCAGGGAGACAACCCAGGCCTGGGCTGCATCCCAAGGAGAGTGGCCAGCAGGCTGAGGGGGTGATTCTGCAAAGACCCCAGGTGGAGCACTGTGGCCATCCCTGGGGCCCCAGGGTAAGAAGGACCTGTTGGAGAGAGCCCAGAGGGGGCCACAAAGATCCTGGGAGGGCTGGAGCCCCTCTGCTCCAAACACAGGCTGGGAGAGCCTTTCAACCCAAACCATTTGATGACTATCCTATGATTCCAGTAAATACATTTGGTTATTTATTAAAAGGAAAAAAAAAAAAAAACCAACCCAGACTATGTGGGTTCTTTTTCCTCATTAAATGCAACAAAATACCACTACAGCCAAAGACCAAAAAAAAAAAAACCAAAAAAACAACCAAAAAAAGCCCCCAGATCAACATACAGAGTGATAAAATTGCTCCATTAGTAGAAAGCTTACTTACATTTGACTGCTATTTGAAGGTCTGCCTTGTAGCCAATCCTTTAAAACAAAGGAGAGGAAAAACAAAGAGGGCTTCAGTATTGTAAGGAAAGCACAGTTTATTCAGCTAGAGGTGGGGTGGTAATGAGTGGAATGTGTTTAAAACTCTTGGAGTACAGCCTGTTTATTGGAAATAAACCAGGCTGTACTGAACTGCAGTTGAATGGAGAGACCCAAATACAACCAAGAAATGGTAACTACAATTAAAAGAACAAATAAGGCTCTATATTCACTACTGTTTATGGATTATATAAGTAATTCTTTTCCTTAAAAGAAAAGAATTTTGATTTTATTTCTACAAACAGTGAACAGCACAGATTTTCATAGTGAGAACATACACAACTTCTTCCCTTAGTGAAAACAGGTCTCCTGTTGCCTCCTAGAACAAGTCCACAAATCAGTATTACTCTCTCTGTTTCTTCTCCTTTATTTGTTCAGCTTCTAGTTCTGCTCTAGAATGTCACAAAAGGCTGGTACAAACCGTCAGTAAGGCTGCTTTGGAGTCAACTTGCTGTGTGTCTTCACTGGATGCTCTCCTGCTCTTGCTGTACACTGCAAATGAAGGAGATTTGTAACTGGACATAGAATGGCAGCTGTCACTGTCACCCATTTCCTGATAGTGAACAAACAGACAGACATGAAACAAGCCAGACCCACAGCTCTAGATGAAGTTTGCAGTCCTAACTAGATCACTTTGTGTTTTACAGCTCTGGCAAATCCAAGGTAAAAGAACTGAGCTGGCATGGCTAGAAGAACCACAAGAAGCAGAAGATTCAAGTACTACCAAACATGAGAATATTTCAAGATTATTTAACCATTTGTGTTCCCTTTGCATCTTCTTAGGGTACCCATTAGCAAGGCAAGTTAGAGACAACATTGGGGGACCTGAGCAGAGCCCAGACTTACGCTGCTCTGAGTGGGCTGTCAGAGGGTCAGTGAACCCACCACAAGAACTGGATTGTTGTAGATCACTGTCAGTTTGAAGACCCTACAAAAAAAAAATTACATTTACCATCAGTCATCATTATCATTATTGCTTTCAACTAATACTTTTGGAACACAATCTGCACAGTTTTTCTTTTTAGGACTGGAGAGGATTCTTCAAAATTTCTGGATGTACTTCAAATACCTCACTGCAGAGAAATGCATAAGTTGAGTGCATTAATTCAGTTTGAACGCTCTTCTCACAGCAGCCACCAGCTGTAACATTTTCAGACACACATTAAGACTCCTGACCCACACCAAAAGAGTTCTTTGCAAGGGAATGTTACAATAGCATAGAACTACAGAAATGTCAATTACACTGGATCCCTACAAGTGCCATGTTCAGCTCATCTCTTTTGTGCCTTTGTTGGCTATCAATTCTTATATAAGAATATGGCTCTGGCAGAAACTAAATTTCAATTTGCACCCACTTAAAAGAGCAACAAAATATAGTAAACTCCTGCCATGTAAAAACCTGTGGGTTATGAATGCAACTTCCTTATGGACATACTCCTTCATAGCAATTACACATTGCTAGAATATGTACTGAGGTGGTCAACTTTTGACAACAAAATATTTCTTTTGCAAAAAAAGGAGAAAGGTGGTTTCATGACAAACTAGGACTGTGTGTAGAGTGGCACAGGGCTTACTCATCTATTAACTCCACTGGTTACCTGAATAAACTGTAAAAATTCATTGTGCCCTGCTTATGATTCCTGAAATCATAACAGTTAGGAAGTTGTTACCACCCTTTTTCACCCTTCCCTCTTACAGAATACACCCCACACACATAAACATACACAGGTCTGTGTGTGTGTGTGTCCAAAATGTCTTTCTGATGTGTGGTTGTGTGCATAAAAACTATTTCTTTACATCCCTAAACAGTAGAACATTTTAGACCTCTGTCAAGGAGACATCCAGTTTACAGATAATGAGATAAGAACAGAGACCCATGTCTTTACTGGAAAGAATAATTTTAGTGAGTGTTCAAAATAAGATTCCTAATAAACGGAAACTTTCTTTACTTACTTGAAGTCTGGTTGTCTCTATACCCTCCAATATAGCTTTTTTGAAGTCTTCCTGCTGCTCCTATCAAAGAAACAAAGCAAATCATTAACAACAAAAAAACTGTGCCAAAAATACACACAAAAAGCTTTTTGGTCACACATTATACTCATCAAAAGGTTCAGAAGCAGCAACTTAGCAGAAGACAAGCATTTCAAATGGTCATAATGCAATTCTCAGGTGTATTCTCTCCTGAATGCATAACTGCAAATTTGTATGTACTAATTCAACAGCTACATGGCAAAAACTGTATTCATATACATATATATACACACATATATATATATACACACACATATATATACATATATATATACACACACACACACTATAATACTTGGAAGGCAGGTTTATGATTAATTACTTTTACATTTGAGTAATTTTTATTATTATCTAAGGAAATTTCTTTAGGAAATGGAAATTATTCATTTTAGTCTATGACAGGTTTGTTAAAAAGCTTTTTCTTCTTGGAAGCATAATGAACAATCTTTGTCACTTTTGAAAATTATATTCACTGTCACCTTGCTCTATAAATTATAACATAAATTACTCTAGTCTTCCTAAAGGCTGATCTTGAAATTTACAAGTGTAAAATATTCAGCTAGACACTAATTATGGGATACCTAATTTTATCTCAATTCACAGTTGTAGTCATCTTAGCTTTCATAACCTCAGAGTTTATTATTTCTCTAGTATCCTATTATGAAGCAACAGTACTTGATGGCAGTTAAGGTTACATGAGTTTTCACTGGATTTTTTTTTTTAATCATGAAACAGATGCAAAGTGCAATCTGCAATGATTGTGTAAGTTTTTTGATTCTATTTGGCCTTAGGCTTTTTCCAAACATACTGTGACATGACAGTTTAAAAGGAAATTATCCCCATTAACATATTTGACAAAGCTTTTCATGCTCACCTCAATATCAGCACTTCTTTCCCTCATTTTGCTGGCTGCCTCTTTGAACCGCTGTAGGTCCATGCTGTCTCTGTGACCTTTGACACAGTGAATTCAAAAAGAGTATTCAAAATCAAAGGCAACCTCCAATGTTCTGACCATGCCAATAGTCTGCATCACCATAGCAAAGGGTTACAAACCACCTAAGGTCTGTGTGCCTGTTTGCACTAGGAAAGACATTACAAACATGCTCAAGTGAAGATCAGTGTAACAATGTCCAACTATTGCCTTTACTGCACTGAGGTGTGGAGCACCACCATTCAGAAAGTAAAGCTAATATTTGAAATCTTTACTCAAGCGTATGCTCCTCACAGGAAAGGAACAAGGCCTGGATTACAGCACTTTTATGTATGCTTGACAAATGAAGGGAAAGTAGAGAGTTTCCTGGAGGTAGCTTTTACAATATACCCTTCATCCTCCCAGCTGCAAGAAACACTTCTCAGAATTTTCCAAATCATGTGGCTTTATAATGAATGAAAATCTAACTGGCTTCACCATTGAAACCTGCATGGTATCACAAGTGGTGTAAATTGTGGACAGCAAGAATGAAGGGTATGTTCTAAATGCTAGAGATGTCAGAGGACCATATACAAAAAAAAATCTGGCTCCAGTAAATAAGTATAGTTAGTATTCAAAGTTATTAGTGGTGAAGTACATTTAAAGATTAGATAAGAGTTGTACAATCACTGTCCATAATTTCTGTTTAGCCTTGCTTTCTTTTTTCAACCATGAGGCATTTATACACAAATAGCTAATGTAGGTAACTTCTTAGAAATCCAAGTTTCACAGCAGTAGAATAAACTCTTGTCTAGAGATTTAAATTTATACAACCTCAGCAAATCTCTGGAAAACACTGAGACATCCCTAAACAACTTTAGCAAGACAACACCTCTGCAGACAACCTGACAATTCCAGATTACAATCTTCTGCTAAACACTAAGCATACTTAAAGCATTATCTACTTGACAGGAATCAGTTAGTAAACCCACACCTGTGTTTTGCAATGAATCTGCCACTGTTTTACCATTCAAATAGATAAGTAACTAACCAAAACCATCCACCTTTTTACTGTTAAACGGAACTTGAGGGGAGGCAAAATTTGTATTGAATTAAAGGACTTTGGAAGCTTCCAAAATGACAGCCCCAACCCAGGTTAGCCTAGGCAACAGTGGAAGATCCCAGCTGTAACAGTGTTTAGAAATAAAGTATAGGAGAAACCCTCAGCTTGACACAGATACCACAGATATTTATCCAGGACTCCATCAGCCTGAGTAGTGTTCTGTAATTACGTCAAGGAATAGACAATATTTTTGATTTATGCAATCAGAAGGTAGGAGCTTTATAATGAGCCACAAAAGGTTTGTCTACAGTGCCCGTACCAAGCTGTACAGCTGCTAATTGCCCAAAACTGCTCTACTCAACAACTGGATAATGTTTTTCAGAAAAATATTGTCTATGTGACAGAATTATGGAGAAATTATAATTTCAGTTAAAAAAACCATTCAAGCAACATAGGGAAATTAGAGATGTTAAATGCAAAAAAAGCAGAGCAAAATGGTAGAATAAAGTCACCTGCAACCGGAATACACCCAAAATACCATACAATTCTTGATAAGTCAAACCTTGTGGCTTAGATTTGGTCCACAGTTTATGAAGCAGTCCCATAAGGATGTTAGAACATAAATCTCGGGTTTGCAGTTCCATTGCATGGACATGCTGACTTTTGGAAAGTTCATCTTTAATATTCAATTTTCCATGTGAGCCGCCACGGTTGACTGTTGACATCAAGTCGCCCGTTGACAAAGAGAACTTCGTTTGGGGCTTGTTCTTCTCTAACTTGGCAGGGGACTGGTGAGCACTTTTGTCAACTCTGCAGCTGTAGTTATCATTAGTGTCACTCTCATCATGAATAAAACCACAATTAACGTATCCTCCATTTTCAACACAAGGTTGGGTGAAAGCAAGGCAAGCAGAGCCAGAAGCAAGAGGATAAGAGCAGCTAATAATGACTTCAGGACATTCAGAATCTACTTTGTTATACTTACCCACAAATGCACCAAATTCTACATTATTATCTCCTTCTGTAGCCTTAGAGAAAACAGTCTCTTCGTGCTTTGCTGAAGAATCCAGCTGACTTTTGCAACTGGGTCGAGATGGAGTGCTAACAAAAAACTTTGTAGTTGGGGATGTTACATGTGGCATGCTGTTGGATGAGTTGCCTAATTTTTTACTTTTACTAGTGGATTTTGAGATCTCTGCAGCCTGTATTCGTTGGCGAAGTTCCGGAGGGGAAACAGCATTTGAAAATAAGGCACTGCCTGAGGAACCTGCCTCTTGGAAGTTTTTTTCTTCTCTTCGGGGAGCCAGAGCCAACTCCTGACCAATTGTCTTATGCTGGACTTCTTTGTCATCACGGATGGAAATGTTACAGAGTAAAGCATTGTTACTCTCAAGGCCTCCTTGTGGAAAAGAACCAAAGACGTTTCCAATGCTGTGCTTCTTCCACACCGATGATCTGAGAGAGCCATCCTCAATGAGATTTTGTGCCAAATGTTTTGAAATGCTCAATTCCCGGGTGATTTCATTATGAACCTTGCTGGCTTCTGAAGCTTTCTGGGCAGTCAGTGTTTTCAGAGTATCCACAGTTAGAGCAGACAGATCCTGGAGGTGGCCAATCTGTGAATCTAAAGACTGTAATGACCTTTTAATGTAGTTGACACGATCACCAACTTCCTTTATCTGAATGCACATTTGCTCCACCCTAAGAAAAATCAAATTATGAAGTAGATATGAAAGGTATTTTTCTCAATATGCAAAAACCCCCCATGATTATAACCCCTTCTGTCCATTTAATCAGGGGGAAAAACAACTTTGAAATGTCACAATAAAATGACAGCATTGGACTGTCTTGTAATACAACATTTGTACATACTTCTGAATCACAGAATTGAAACAGCTATCAATAGAGGCCCACAGCACTTTAGGAAATGTATCAGTCTCTTAAAACATCATGGGAAACCAAATAAGCCTCAGTTTACTGAGTGCTTCTATAGGTCAAGAAGAATCAATCACATTATCAGTGTCTGCATAGCAATGGAAAGCTACCATATAAAATTTGCATAAACACTTCATGTTCTTGAGCTGTATTTCTCCCCTTTTAAAGTAGATTTAAAAAAACCTGTAAAAGTCCTAATTCTCTATTCAGAAATTTTAATTGTAAATATTCTACCGTTCAAATGTGACTCGAATCCTCTCCTCACTTCCAGAATGAAATTTATCATCCTTTTCATTAAAATACATCTCAACACACAGCTCTTCAAAATCATGAAGTTTCTTCTGATCTTCTTCTGTCAGGAAGAGTTCTAAAGAGAGATCAACATTTAAGATGACATATGTAGTGAAATTGTACAGGTGCTGAAAACTAATAGTCATAACTCTACAAAAGATGTTAACAATAAAACTCTACAATAAAATTAAAACAAAAAACAACAACAACAACAACAAAGAAAAACAAAACAAAAAAAAATCCTACCAGAGGGCCACCTAAGACCCTTCCTCTCTCATTGAAAAAATAAGTTCAAGGTCAAAGATTGACAATAAAATAAAATTAAAATAGTAATTCTGAGAGGATATGTGCACAATATTATCATCCCTTACATTTCTACCCTTTAATCCCTTTGAGGCAGAAGCTAGATTCCTTAGCTGGATTTTATTTTTAAAGTTTCAAAGAAGTTTTACAGAAAGAAAAAAAAATATTTCTCAATTAGCAATAACAAGAAATCTAATCTATTTGTTTGTGTGATAGGTTAGTTTTACTGGAGATTTCTAGGGGTTGGCATTAAACTCCTGAGAAAAGCACAGTGATTTTCAAAAGAATTATCAATATTGAAAACACATAAAATTAAGACCCACTTTGACTTTCTTCACAATACACATTCTAGTCAAGAACATGGTGCTTTTCTGACTGTTTGCTTTAACCATGTCAAAAGCATTGCTGCAATTTTTTGGATAACTGTTCATACTTGGCCCATCTGAAGCCTTGTCTGTCTTTCTTCTTTTACATATACAGCAGAAGAGGGAAGCCATGTGGCTGAGAATGATCAGTGGTGGAGGCAGAACAGGTTTTTCATGGTAGGCCATAATGAAATGATAGCGCTGATACTTCCACACGATGTTTGAAATTGCCTTGACTTGTAAATACACGTTGCTGAAACAGAACAATATTAACACATCAGTGTTTTTTGGGGTGGTGGGGAGTTGTTGATGTTTGTTTAGTGGTTGTTGGACTGTTTGTTTTTTTAACACTTTGATAACAATCTTGAATTCTAATTCCAGTTAAGTAAGAGACAAAAGCATTAACTTGTTTTTTGCTGCAAAATTATTTTTGTGGAAGTGGAAACACATTCAAGAGAACACCATGATTCAGAGCAAGGAGAGGGCTAAAGAAATTCTCCCATCAGGTAACATCTCAGTATCTTTACTTAGAAATAAATTACACTGGGATCAAATTTCAAGTTTGCCAAACAAAAAAATTAATTATTTCTAACTAAACCCAGAATTTTATATCACACCATGTTAATTCTGCAGTCTGTCTTCTTCAGTGTTTGTGAGCTGCTTATGCCCATAAATTAAACACTTGCAGAGAAGTATAAAAGACAACTTACTACAACTGAACCCAACCAAGTGGAAAACATTAAATGAATTTAGGAACAACAGTCAATTAGGACAAAGAAACAATTTTGTTTTGTTTGTTTTCTGACAGATTTCCTTGAACTTCTGATTCCCCTGACCTCACAGAGGTGACATGAACCAGTCACATCACACACTTCCCTAACTCAGCCATGAGCTTGCAGTGAGGAAGAGACAAAGACCAGCCTTAGAACCTGAAAAAACTTCCAGGAAATGGGATTGCTTTGATCTGGCATTAGTTCTTATCTTGTCATCTTATTGCAGTGAGATAGACACTTGTCCAATTATTAGCAAAAATTAACTATTATCCACATACTTACTTGAAAAATGCAATCAGGAGATTAACCATGATTATGTACTGTACAAAGAGGTAGACAGCTTGAAGAAACGGGGTCAACCATGTTCCTGGGCCACAGAGATGAGCAACTTTTTCATCAGAATTATTTGCACACACTGTGTTGGGAAAAAAAGACACAGAGACAACATGTACATCTTTTAGAACTCCCAGCAGGTACAGACACCAAAAAAAAAACCCCAAAAAAAAGTCACTTACAGTTTGCAACAATCAACTATGATGCACTGGTTCTGCAGTTTGAAATGTCTCCAGGCATTTAGGAACATGGTAGAAAAATACCAGAGACAACGTTTCTGGCTGATACTATGCTGTAATCATATTATTGGCTTTTTAAAAAAGCATAGTACATCACACCACAGCCAGAATTTTGTCATGATAGCTGTGGGGCAGAATTCCAAAATCTTGCTAGGAACAGCCTTGAGAGAAATTGTAATTATGTAATTTTTATTCTAAGCCAAACAAGTTTTTGAAAAGAAAATGAAGAATCAGGTCACATAGTTATACAGCTGCAACCAACAAAAGGGAGATATTCCATTGAATGGAATCAACACCAACAGTACTGGGACTTTCATAAAATTGGAATTTCATAAGATTCTGAGAAGACCTAATCAGAGTAAGTTCTCTCTTTACTTGCTTCATAATTGCAGTATCTTACCATCAATTTCATAGGCATAGACTTCACCAAAAATCATCCAGTATGGATGAAACACAATATCTCTAGCAAGAGTCCAAGAGGGTGCCTCATCAGGATAGAGTATTGCCTTCCTGGGAACACCAAAACTAAGTAGTACAAGTGCCATAATCACCACAATGTAAAACATGTTGGCCACCTGTTAACAGAAAAAAAACCCAGTTAATCCACAAGGTCATAAATATGATCACACAACTCTAAAAACTTTTACAGTGACAGGGTACACTTGAGAAATTCTATGTATTATATAAAGAAAAGAGTCCAGGACACAAATATTTCACTCAGAAAATTTTGTTAAATAATGAGCCCTGTTAAAAAACCCCAAATTTTTCCTGTCCTTTTTTATAATGTATTTAGTACCCTTGGCCAAAGGCAACTGAGCCTATTTCCCTTTTAACTTGAATACTATTAGGTACACAAGGAGCAGCTGACAAAGAAATATTCCTTCCTGAAGGTACTCAACAGCTGCACAAAAAACAGAGGTAGTTTTCCAAGGGCAGGAACACAGAACTAGCCTCTTGCAAGAAATCAAAGTGAGAAATGAGCAACTTGATGGCCTTGATTTAAGGAATGACAGGGTTCAATTTTCTAAGAACCATTTTATAGAGGGAAGAAACACAAAAGCTCCTTCCACATTCATATATACAGCTCTCAAGCCTTATAATAGTTTTTAACATTTAGAATAGCTAGCAACAGTAGAAATAGGTTATTTAATTTTAAGTTTAAACAATTTTAGTATTTTTTGTGTGAGATGACAAGAAGCACAATATATTCCCAGTTTTCCATAGCACAAAACCATGAAGGTGTTTCAGGACACTAAACAAGTTAAAAGTTTTGACCTAAAGAACACAAAGACTATAAATTTCAGACCTAAATGGGAAGCTGAATCAAGACAAAGGCCTCATCATATTCATTTAAGTCTCTGACATCTGAGAACAAAACCAGAGAAGGAAGATTTGCCATTTTTTACATTTATGTAACAGGGATAGCTCCATAAAGGAAGCCTTCTAATCAGTGCTTCTTTTGAAATCCTTTAAGTTATATTCCAGCTGGCTAATTCTGCACACCAAGTTGTTATCCTATTAGAGCAGGAAAAGAAACTTCTAACTAAATAAAACTATTGAAAGAAGTTGTAAATGGATTCAGTTGGGGGGAAAAAAATCAGTAACAAACATAGTACTTACCATTTTCCCAATCATCATAACATAAGGGCCAGCCTGTTGATTTACAGCTAGAAAATCCAGTAATCGCACATACCAAAAAATGATATTGAGACAGTATGTTATTCTTCCAGCAACAAAGATGTAATTTTCTCTGTAAGTGTTTTCTCCAAAATTCCCCTTGGCTCCAAATCTTAAAGCAAACCCAATGAAGAAAGTGACAATGGCAACTGTGTCACTGATATTGAAGTAATCACTGAACCACACTTTGATCTTCTGATTAATCTTCCCAGCCTCTGACATAAAAATCTGTAAAAGATATGAAGGTCAAGACAGCTCATATTTATTGCACAGGGGTCAGCAGTAAAATATGTGTATCACCAGCATTTTTATACTTGCAAAAATATAATAGCTATTCAAATGGAGAACTCTTAAATGCTGAGCAATCAAAACCAGTGTTTAACTGTGTCAGCTTCACAACAAGGAAAGGAGGGTTTTGCTCTGTCTGAACAATTTACTAAGGAATTTTGGATTTAGTTGGGTTTTTATTCCTTTTGAGGCAGTTACTGTGACAAAAATGAACCCTATCTGCCTTCAGTTGAGCCTGAGGTACCAGGTTAAGGGACTAACTTGATCTCTCCCATTTATGGAAGTTCTCCCATTACAGAACTTCCATAAAGTCTCTTGCTGACCAGGAACATTGTAGTTATGATGGCTCTCCTGGGCCACTAAAGATTTTTTTTTGTTTTGATATCTTGGTCATAGCACGGTGGCAGAGCCTGTCTGATAAATTAATACACATTTTACAAAGCCTCCATCTAGCAACCTATACCAAGCTTTAAGATAAAGGCATTAAACCATTTACTCTGATGCTTAAGTTTCTTCAGTTTTCTTGTTCACAGAATAATAGTTTAAAGCATACTGTTTTAACTGACAAAAAAGGCAAAAATCCCAATTGTTACAGGCATACCTCACGAATTTTCTCAATTGCTGATGTGAAAATGTAAGCAATAACAATCCACTCCTGAACAGATGGTAATTCTTCCATTTTTACAAGAACCACAAATGTGTAGAGCATGAGGAATCCTAAGTATGCCAACTAAAAAACCAAATAAAACATATACATATAATTACTGAAGGATCCTTTAAAGATGTACATGGAATCTTTTGATGTGGTATACAAGAAAAGCTTCAAGTTGAATTACAAGACTATATTTACCATTTTTAACAGACAAGTTATTATTTATAAGAGTATACAAACATTTTCATCCTAGAAAAGCAAAAATAGCTGTAATAAGCTATTTATTGTTAGCAAAGCTTTGCTCTTATTACAGCTATTTTCCTTTAGAACAAATTCTAGCATTTCTATTACAGTGATTGAAATGAAGCTGTGCATGCACTTGAGACTAATACATGGTTATAGAACTCCTGCTAGCAACTGATGAAAAGAATTACTCAAAACAGAATTAAAAAACCTCAAACCACAGGGCACAGCATGTGCTTATGCAATTTCATAAAATGAAGTATTTCTCATTTCCAGCTCAGCAAGGTAAGGGGTTTTCTGTCTGCTTTTTGGATAGTGCTTAACATTGACTCAATCAGAGATACATGTTGAGAAAATAACCCAAAAATCTGTGCTACATTTCCAGATAAAATACACACTATACAGAAAAAATCTCACCGTGTTAAACCAAAACTTCACAATTGGAGCATGATAAAATGCATAAAACTTCTGTGTAATTGGGAGTCTTTTAGGTTTTGCTGGAGTCTCCATGTCATGCTTTTCATAAGTACTGTCCAAGATCCTCACTTCTTTAAAAACCTCCTAAAACAAAAAAAACTGTTAACTTCCCACACAAAAAATGCATGCTTTCTGGCACTAAATTTCACTTCTTTGACTTAAAAATTTAATTATTTAAGCAAGGAATATTGTTTTTAATATCTCCCTCTGCCCCACATTACCATAGGTATTTCATCCGCTGCAGTCTGGAAGTTGTTCTCACTGTCATCCATTGCCATTTGATGTGCATCTTGAGACTGAGGAATATGTGACATTTCAGCCTTGGTCTTATACTCCAACAGCAGTATAGCAGGAGGGAGTAGAATACTCAGTATCACCTGGAAAAGATGAAGACTAAGTGTAAATAGTTCACAACTCCACTAAAGCATCAGAACACACCAACACACAGAATAGCCTTTGGAAATATATTATCTAAATTTCACTTGCTTGCTATTGAGGGGAAAAATGTAGAAAATAATTAGTTGTTATTACTTGTATATACACCTAAGAGCTTAGGATCACATATACAGAGTGTTTCTTGACTTGAAGACATAGGAAATGGGAAAAACCAACAAATTCCAAAATTCAAAGCTATTAGAAAGAATGTGTTCCAAGCCTGAAGAGAGAGATGTTCTGTTCACACTCTGTTATTTAATCCACTCCCAGAAGCTTTGGAACAGTGTATTGTTAAAGTGTATTTTAAAAGCCTGTACCAGATTGTCGTTTGTGGGGGGAGAGGGGAGTGGTGTATGTTTTGTTTGGGTTTTTTTTTCAATTTATGGTAAAAAAATGAGCTAAGGTATAGATGAAGAGTAAGTGAAAGCTATTTACTGTCATTAGCCTCTTACAAAGCAAGCAAGAAAATAGTTAATCAGTTATAAAAGAGGATTTTAGTAGGTCACAAGTTAAATGATGCTTGTAGGTATTTTGTAGGAAAGTTTTCTTTCATTTTATTTCTAGCAACAATTAGGTTTTGGTACCTAATTTCTCAAAGAAATATGCAACTCCCATTTTGGTTCAATTGAGCTATATCAATTATCTCTGTCTAGATCATAATTGATCTATATCACACAAAGGGCACCACTGGAAAACCTGTCCCCGATTTGCTGTTCTTTGCCCTGCTTTTGCTCAGTTCCTCCAAAATAGGATATTCACAAAGCTTTTTTACATCAAGTCTTATGTGCTCCCTGTAAAAAGCCAAAATGCATGAAACTACAGTCTTACAACAGGTTTTCCATCTGTTAAGGATTGTTACTACTATGTTTTTAGTAGTGGATTAGTATTCACATGATCTCTTTAAGCCTCTGATTAAAGGCTACTTGCCTGGTTTTTGCCTTCTATATTTCTGTACCTTATTTGAAAAGATAATAGAGTGTCAAAAGAAGCAAGTTTACAACAAATATTCCAGTTTTGATTATGTTATAGGAGACTGGTTTACAGGATTTATTAATAAAAGCTATAGTTGTGAAAGCTTTACACCAACAGCATTTAAACACACACTTTTCTTCCCTTTAAACATTAACACCACTGACCATTTTTTACATGAATAAACTGCAACAGTGCTTACTTTGTACCACGAATTCTTCCTCATGTTCAGCCTCCCCATCCACATATCCGACAGCAACATCTGTGTGCAAGTGTGTGCTACAAACGGACGGAGCCTCGAGGACACGGCCAGCTTCAGGCAGGTGGAGTTGCTCCAGTTCTTAAGTTCGTACGTCAGTAATTTCATGGCCATAGTTTCATCTTGTCGGAAGGACTGCTCTAACAGCTCAACTGCCAGCTGACCAAACTCGCTAAAATGAAGAAAAAAACAACAAAACAAAAGATAGTATCTATAGAAATTACCATGAGTGAGGTTTCTTGCACAAATTCCCAACTTGCATAACTTGAAGGGACTATTATTTGTCCCTTCTGTACAGATATGCTGTAATCTGTAACCACAATACATCAATCTATGACTTCTGTTAAAAACATATGCAAGCTAAAACAGCTATTAAAACATGCACAGAAACTACACAGAAGAAAATGGCACACTGAGTTTCCTCCTAATTTGACTATAAATCAAGTCTTTTAACAGCCTTCAAGAAAGAGCAATATCTGATATAAAGCTTCTACTAGAGTTCCACTTAAACCTTTTTGCAAAACATGATTGTCTTCAAGTGTGCTAACAGAAAAATTTGCATTTTGTTCATAAGTAGCCCACTACTTTTATTGCAGAGGTCCAGAAAATATTTTGAACAATAGGACTGTAACTTACTTGGAATACTGTTTCAGTTCTTCAGAAGTATCATCAACAAGGTCACTTTGTTTTGCCTCGTATGCCATGGACCGATAGACTTTGCAGGCCACCAAGGCTTTGGCCATGGACTCCTCGCCGTGCTGCCAGAAGAAAAGAGCCATCTTCTGCCTCTTCATCAGCACTGCCCACAGCAACAGCTCGTTCAGAGGATAAGCAAAACGTCTCGTTTCAGGATCATCTATGTCAACTATTTCATCTTTGGTTCTTTTCTTTTTTCCCTCTTCTGCACCAGTGTCAATCTTGAAAATAAAATCACAAAGTCACATTTTAAATCGTTATATTTGGTCATTATGTAAATTGAAATAAAATGCTGAGTGATCCAATACCAGATTATAAATAATTATAAAAGAAAACAGAAAATTTTTGAGAACTTGAAAAGCAGCTGGAACTTTTGTTTGAAAACTTCAGTTGAGTAAAATTCATTTTAATAACTGTGAGACTGAATTAATTTGAATCCTAGATCAAAGAAAAGCCATAACTAATATACCTACATACAAATAAAAAAATTCATGGAAACTGCTTGTAGTAGTAACACATGGCCAAATCTTGCCCTATCTACCAAGCCATGTGAGTCCACTTACTTCATTCCTACTCTGTCAAAGATAAACTTTCTGGTCCCTAACATATCAAAGCTTATCCACAAGACTCCTATACAGAAAGATAAACACCCTTTACAGAATCCTGTAAAAAAGCTGCAGTTTAGAAACAAGTACAAAAGCAAGGTTGAAATTCCAGCTTTACCAAAGTCAATGCAATTGCTGCTACTCACTCCAGTGGCACTTGGGTTTCCAGCAGGCTCCCCACTCTCAGCTCCTTGAAATAAACCCCACTGTGCTCCCCTCACAGCGCTCACCTTTGGTTTGTACGGCTGCGCTGTTTTGATGAAATGATTGTGGCGCATTTTTTCCTTCTTGTCTGCCCTGTTACCAAAAGTCTCATGGCTTTTACACATCTGAGGAGTGGTACTTGAAGGATTTCGCCCAGATCTCTGCAACGAGGAGAAGGGGTTTGGTTATTGAAACATGGATGAACATAAACAGAACAACAAGAATTCTCAGTGGATATTTAACATGGATTGTTGTTTGTTTTCACTGCTTTTAAGAAGTCACTAAATGGGCAGTCACACTTGTTGGTTAGTGTAGCTTGCACAAGAAGCTAAAATATCTGCATCTCAAGCCCTTGTGAATCTGCATGTGTACTGTCCTCTCTTCCCCTACAAGCAGGAAAAGAGGAAATCACAGAGAAGGAATTAGGATATACTAGAACAAGGTCGAGGAGAATAAACCCTGTTGTTTGCCCTCAATCCCAAGACAGATCTCAGCTGCCCTCATAGACCTTACTACTGCATTTAAAATTACCAGTCCATTGACAAGAAGAGCAAACCAAAATGGGTTCAATCATTGTACAAAACACAAAGATTTGGGATTTTCAGCTGGGAGCAGATGGCTGTTCCCAAGTGCACATACCCGGTTGTTCCCGCTGAGGCTGTTGTATATTGCTCTAAAGCGCTTCCTTGTGTACGTGCATCTGTAGGTTCCTCCCATCAGATACTCAATAACCAGTCCCACATCAATCAGGTTGATTTTATATCCTGGAGGAAGATTTCCCTAGGGATACAAAAGGTATTTTTACTTTTTCAATGTATAATATTAAACTTGCTTATAGTGTTTCTACATGTTTTATCACAGCTCTAAATAATAATTTTTTAAAAAATAAGCCTTTCATGATAAAAAAACCCCTCCAACATAAAACCCAAAAAGCATCTATATGACTCAACAGTTATTATTTTTAAAGAAAGACCAGGTTATACCTTTTCTACATTAACTCCCCTAACAGAACAGATACTCATTCCATTGGTGGGGGACGCACTGGGGGTTTTTTGTCTATTGTTTTAACAGCCAAAATTTCTCCATGCTGGAAGCATCAGCTTTCAACCCCCCCAAGAAGGAAAACAATCAAAAGAAAAATGAAAGACAACACTCTGGGTTTAACATCTTTTAGGCAGCAGGGCACCAAGCATACAACAGAAATATTGAAAACTACCAAAATGTCTGCAGAGGTAGGTTAATACTTAAAATAAAATTCAATTAATAAACTGCAGCTGAAATTGATAGTCAAACACAAGAAATTAACAAAAAATAACTGCTAGTTTGACAGATTTTTACATGGAGATCATACCTGCTTGACGTCCCGAACAAGATGAAATAGTGTTGGGTTGGTTGGGCCTTGTTTCTTTATAACAAAAGAGAGGGAAAATTTGGAATGAGACATTAGCATGCAAGAGCAGCACCATAAGAGGTTAATTTTAAAAACTAATTTAGAATATAAAAATATAATATAAATAAATAAATAAACTTCTCAAGAAGGCTTCTCTACAGAGCATTATTAGCTAAAGAATTCATTATTTTTTTCTTTTTTTGTCCAAGCAGATACTGAGACTGTTAACACAAATCTAAGCCATATTTGTGTACTAATCACATCAGCTAGTTTTTGCTGGAAGGTTCTTAGTTCTGTCTTTGGATACTGTTATCAAAATTACCTTGGAATTCTTAGATCAACATCGACAGTAACAAAATTTTTCTAAGTAATAATTATTACTATGCAGGTTGACAAATTAAACTCTTCCTAGAACTATTATGATGTTAATGGCTACAGACAGAATCCATCCAATGAAGCCCTATAGATCTCAGATTCTGGGCACAAGTTTCACCCACGTAACTTTCTCTTGTTCTCTTCCCCACTGTGTTTTCCACACTTTGTGTGTCCACAGAGCTGCAATTTTCCCTTTAGTGTCCATCCCCATCATCATACACAGATGAACACCCTGCTGACAGACAATTCTGGGGCTGCTGGTGCTGTGCACAGCATCCAACACCATCCACCTCCCAACTCCAACCTCGTGCCCAGGAGCCTTCCCTACCAACACCCCACATCCTCCAGACTGCTGCACACGAGCCAGGACACAACAGGCTGAGCAACTAAAATACTGCTCTAAAAGTAGCTTAAAAAGCAATCATTTACTTACTGTGTTATAAAGTTCTTCCAGCCTGGGAATTGTAAGAAATTTGTGCATGCTTACTCCATTTTCAATCAGAAGCTTCACAAATGCAACTCTGTCCATCACAAGGGCATCCAGCATAGCCTGTTCCAGGGAACCAACCTATAACAAAGCAAAAAGGTGGAGCCTAGAGAGAGCCAGTAAAAAAGTGAACTAAGATACTCTATCAACCTTCTTCATTTAGAGGGCTGGAAAAACCTTACATGTCTGTAAAGATGTCACCCTCTGTTCAGAGTATCCCCCGAACTTCACACAATTACAGGATGGGAGAATACCCTGAAGACTTGAACTGTTCTGTAGGTACTGCCTACTGAGACAGTGGGACTAAGGAAACATTTGGTTTAATATAATTGAGGTGTTCTCATAGGCTGATGTTGGATAAAACAAAAAAAGACATAAAATTTCTAAAGCACAATTTTCTTCAAAGATGTCAGAACCATCACAGCAACCAACAAGCCTTACACAGTACGTACTTCTGAATGCACACTCAATAAGCTCATGTTTTATTTTTACACTACTAGGGAGAAAAGGCAAGAGCCACCAGGTAGTTCTTAAACTCATTTTCAAACTACAAAACCCAGACATTTTGTCCTTCCCTCAAAAGACACTGCAGTGCTGCCAATAGTGCATTTTACCAGATGCTTCTTAAGAACTTTCTAGGGCCATGCAACTGTAATGAAGAAGGAGTATCTGACTAACATGAATTCAGCTTCCACCTTTCATAATGTGTTTTCTCTGCTAGATATTCAGAACAGCTAGCACATTTCCATAATTTTTGGACCATTTTCAAATACAGCAAAACAGCTTTAAGGCTATGCAGTACACCCAAATTACTGTCTCAAAATAAAGATGTCAATATTCCAAAGTCTCTGTCTACAAAAGTCAAGATTCATCCTTTACAGTAAAGTGTGCTTCTCTCTATTAGGAATTATCATTCTGCTTAATCCAGACCACTACATACCAGCCATTGTTGCCCATAAACAAAAACGTGATTTTTGGCTATGTCAACTCTGTCCCACGCAAGTGTAAGAACAAGCTGGTCAAATGCAGATGCATTCGTGCCTTAAGAAGTAAACACAACGAAGAAAATATAAAATTAATTATAATACAAGAGAATAAATGTTCTTGCTTCCTAAAAAGTCCAAAATCAAGCAATATACCACAAAATTATGCTGCATATATCATCATTTATGTCATGTTATAGCATTACACAATGAGAACACAGATATTTGTTTAAAAACTTACAATTCCCATTGGTATTTTATAAATCACACATCACATAAACAATAATAACTGGATGTTCCAAATGATCTTAAAAAATTAAGTCTCACCTTTTAACAATGCTGTAAGTATTGCAACATCAATGTCCTGATGCTCATCTGACCCAATATGAAATACTGTAATCTGTCCAAAAAGGCAAAATGGGAAAAAATATTTAGAAGTTATTTTCAGGCAAAGGTTATTGGCTTCAGTCTTTTAAATCTTTTTCAATTCCTGACATAAAAGACGCCTCGTCTTCAATGCAACTTGAAGCCTGTCTATGTTCAACTTAAACTTTTAGTGTGCATTCTGTTTTGTTTCCCTAAGTGGGAATCTTCAACTACTTTGAACTTCTTTTGCTCCTATGATTACAATTCACTGCTCCCTATAACACAGTATCCTGTTTACCTCTCCAGTCCATTACAGATCATGAGATTAACCTGCCAGCAGACATGGTTAGCTGAACAAGGCATTTTTTTATCTCAGAACAGCACAATGTGATGTTCAAATGAGACACCAGTCCCTGAACTCAGGCTACACATTACCTCTATAAACTGGTTTTGCTTTAAGCATGCAGAGATACTATACCTTTATTAGTAGTCCTAACTAAAAGGTTCAATAAAAGAAAAAAAATCATATCATATATCCACAAATGCATGCGCATTGCATAGAAAAGTTTATGGCAAGATCTACTCACAAGTTCTTTTTTTTTCATGCATTCCAGCAGTGTCTGAAACAAATGAACTGCTTCACTTTGACCAAAGTTAAATGTCTTTTTGATGGTTGAAATGATTTCAGGCTCAGCACCCTCAGGAACATTCCTAAGATTGAAACAAACAAACAGCAAAACAATTGTTTTAGATGAACAGTAATAACAACAATGCATTTAATTAGTTTCAACATGTCCATTCAAAGTCCTGCTATCTATAAGCTTATTACTGTTGCTGTGGCAAAACCTTGGGTAACCTTTAGAAAGAACTACAAGTTACTTAACCTACAATTCTATACTACTGCCTCCTAAAAGTAACTCAACTCTCACCTTTTTTCCCCACATTCAGTTCTGAGATATTCTCAACCAGAAGATTTTGACACAAAATAATAAGCAGTCACTCATCTGAGTAAGACACATTTGTGATCCTAGCCTGGACAAAGCTGTTTGGTTTACAGCTAAGTTAGATCCCTGCCTCCCAAGGTTCAGAGGCAGCCCCTGCAACAAGGACCCAGTGTGTTTAAGGATTTATGCAAGCCTGACAACTAACTAGAAATCACCAAATCACCAAGTACTGTGAGCCCAAGCACATCCCTTTTATTATTTGAAGCTACACTCAAAACAGGCAAGTGTTTTCTGCACTAAACAAAAAAAGCATTTGTACAGATTCAGGAAGAAATGGTCTCAAAACTTATCTGTGGATGACATAGATAGGTGCCATGGATCTGTACATCTTGTCATTTATCTGTGTATAACAAGAACTGTCTGGATACAATCATGCACCTTGTGCTCTGGCGTACACCCACTGTGGTCCCTTCAAACCTGACCGGTTCAGTGCTTCTGTCCAGTCTGCACTGCTGGCACTTACCCCCCCTCCTCTGTCTGCTTGTGGACATAGGCCAGGATGTCTGCAGCTCTGCCAGTTCCCTCACACACCACCACAGGCACTGGAGGGCTCTCCTGAAGGAAGTCTAGAACTGTCAGGATGACATTGGGACCACCTTCAAACACGAGGGCCACCACAGGCACGCCTTGGCCAATTCCTGGAAAATGGCAAAGATAAAACCCAGACAATGCTGTAAGTATACAGTGAACACTAAGGCCAGTTTTACATATTTAATAAATCAGGTTTGTCCTTTCTATTGAATCAACATTAAAATATTGTCCTCCAGACATTAACTGGTGGTAACGCACAGTTTCAAGCACTTTATGTTCTGGGCTGGGACACAAGCACTGCCAAGCTGGCCAATACAACAGGATACAGTCTACAAAACAGAAGAGATTCCTCACAGAAACATTCATGAACTAATGCAGAAAACTGAGAATTTTTCTTTTTGAATTTCCTCTTCTAACTTCCCCCACTAATTTCCAAAGGTGACAACGCATACACAGTTTGAACATAGGTACATGGGAACCCTCTACTAATGGAATATATTGCAAGAGCATTTCTGTAAGGGTCAAAGTACACGTGTTGCTCCACAACTGGGAAAACACCATACTGCAAACTGTGAAACTGCCAGTGTCAAAACCATTCATTAATCAGACCAATCAGGACTTGGTGACAACACCATTAATTAATCAGACCAATCAGCACTTGGTGACAAGACCTGAAGTGACTTACATTTGTTTTTACAAAGTAAATAGACAACTTCATTCATAAGGGATTCCTCTGTGGTCCCAGAGAAATCAGAAATCTACCAGCAATAACTAGGGTACAGAGCAGCTGCTGAAATTCGCAATTTTAGACTTGAAGTATAAGCAAAAGTTTTAAATTATTTTATTTTGTCATTCAGATGTTTGGTGCAAACACCTTTTTCATTAAGCCATAGTAACAGCCCTCAGGCACCAGAATTACTTACTTGCATGGATCCGTTGCAAATTAATAGTTTTTTCCAGTTCTCTTCGCAGTTTAACTTCTGCTCCATACTTTCCAACTGTTCCATCATCCACCAGAATGAAATGGGAATGGAGGTTATTTAGGACGTTTAGTTTACTTAATGGATTTAACAAGGTCTGATATGGAGCAACCACCTAAGTGCAAGCACACAACAATGTCTTTTACTTGCAAAGATTCACACTCGTTTCTGTGAAACTTAACTAGACACAAGAACTGGTGGCTCAACAAGAAGCACTGACACATATAAGGAAGCACTGACACACATAAGCATGCCTTGGATCAGGATACACCAACAGCTGCAGCTCTGAACTTTGTGCAGGGAAGCAGATAATTGTATCACTAAAGGATGCTGTTCTGAAGGGTAACAGAGATCCTTTGAAAAGGTGTCTTTGGGGAAAATTTGTGACTTCTGAAGACTCCAAAATTTTTCAACTTATTATCTTCTCTAAATGTGAATTCTCTGTAATACTTTAGCATATTTGTTACTTGATTCAATAGTATCAGTGGGGGAGGAAAAAGGATTGTACTTAAGAACAAGCTCCTCCTGTAGCACATTCGCATTTTGCAACTTGTTTACAGTAACCATCTTGCACAAGTCACAGATGTCAGTGTATCTTCATAGCAAAGCAAGTATTCCAACGATGCAAAGCAAGGGAAAAACATGCTCGAGCAGATGTGTCAGAAGTAAATGAGGTAAATCATTATTTCAGTTAGGTAATTCCTCCTTACATCTCTTCCAACAAGGTCGTTTCTGTTTTCAATCACTCCCCACGGAGCAATCCCAATAGTGCAAATCTTTCGAGATGATCTGGAAGCGTGTTCTCTTAGAGCATCACCAACATGTTTTGCAACACCTGTTCGTGCATAAAAAAGATTGCAGTGCATCTTACTAAGAATACAAATATTTATTTAGGTGTTTAACTGTTTTATTTAGATAATCAGGCCTTTAAGGACCTGGAAACTTACACACTACCAAAGAAAAGGCACCATGCTACATCTACTAGGAGGAAACCAAGTCATTCAACAAAACAAATATTAGCCCAGCAGGAACTAAAAGAGTTTCCAGCACATTACTGTACTTTTTAATCACATTACACTCTTCCTTGTTTCAAAAGCAAAGCCCAGAAAACACCCAAACAAAAAAAAAAATCACAAAGCCCAAAACCCAGCCCCTCTATATCTTACTTCTCTTTTCAATACAAAACAGTAGCCCACTTTCAAATACATATGTTCAAAATGTATTATTTTAATTTCATTTGACCAAACTCATTCAAATATCTTTGGTTTAGGACGTAGCAATGCATCCTACATTAAATCTTTAGGCTCTTATAAAACTGCAATCCAGTTAATTGTGCACAATCTTTGCTAGTTCCTTACCTGTATTCACTCCTCCAGTTATAATCCAGGCCCCTGTGGTCACTGCAGCTTTGATAAGACCTTTGCCAAGCAACTGTTTGATGCGTGGGTGAAGTTCAAATTTCTGCATGCCCCCATGGACAGATATAACAAGCTTTGGCAACTCCATCTGCCATTCTTTGAGCATAAGTTGCAGAATAGCTTCAGGCTTAGTGTCATATGACAATCGCACATACTGCAGGCACAAGAACAGAGTTAAAAGGTTCAAATGTGTAAAAAGAGGAACCAGGATGCATTTCAGCATATTATCCTGAGCAAAGAGTTTTACAATTGCTTGGTTTTCCTTCCCTGCTCCTGTTGGGAAGGAAACCTACATTTTTTCAACAGAAAACTTCAAAACTGGCAACTTTTTAACACTATGTTTAACAGCATAAGATTAAGTAGATGGTTGATCAGCTACAATGCTGCCACATCTTCAGTATGAGCTACTGAATAGGGATGGGGACAACAGGCAGAAATTGAACCCTTTCTGAATAAAGTTCTAAATAACAAAACAACACTACTCCATTTAACTGGTTTGAGCAACCCCACTTGCACTCTGCAGAAGGAAGCAGAGATGAGAGTGGGCAGCCTGGTGTTTCTGTGCTCCTAGAAAAGGGTTCACAGCAATTTTAAGCTACACTAAGTACAAAGGAACCCATACACTGCTATTAAGAACATGAAAGAACTGTGCCAAGGGCCCTTCTCTCACAGAGATGATCTGACCTGGAGCACTGGCCTGTCCTTGGGGTTTCTGCCAGCTGCAGAAGAACACAGCTCCCTCACTCAAGCACTTTGGTTTGACCACAGAGGTCACAGTGTACAAGCACTTCCTGTACCTGTAACTGCATAAGCTTTAAACAATTCCTACCACAACTAAAAATCTTTTACAAATAGAAATTAGAAAGAATTCAAATCACAACAAAAATCCTAGTGTAGAAGAGGGCAGTTGACTGGTTGGCTACAATAGAAGTATTAATATTTTCAGCCTTCAATTTCAGAAGTTGAATTAAGCATGGTGATAGTAAGAAAAAAAGAAACAACAAAACATCATACATGCCTTAGCCCTGTAAGAATGAGAGCCACCTTGAAAGTTGATGACACCATAAGCATCAGTAGAGGTCTGTTCTGTGTGTTTTTCCACGGACCATTCTTCTGTGTCCTGGTTGCAGTTTTCACCCAGCTTCACATCGGAGTATTTCATAGCCAGGCTGGCAGTGAAACAAGCGTGTTGTCTGACCAGGCGGCCACAGCAGCACCTGCACCAGGGACAATGCTTTGTAAATACTGCCATTGCAGGAGAAAAGAGCTGCCTTTATTGGTAACAGGAACAGAACAGATCTAGAAAGCAAAGATTCTAAACATTACATAAACCTCTCTTCCAGAGTGAGCCTTGTTGTCATAAATATTTACAGCAATAGTCAATTACAATACATATTATTATGCAAAATACTGAAGCTCACTAAGGCAGCAAGCTGGAGGCCAGGAGAAATTACTTCTTTGAAGCTGAGTAATTTATATAACATTTATAAATCTGTGACCTACTTATTGCAGACAGTTCTTTAAACATTAGTTATATTTATTTTACATCTAACCTTTCACCAACTTGTCACTCATAATATTGATCAAAACTTTGAAAACCCTATTAGGAAAGCACTTAATGAGAAAATATTCATGAGTATTGTAATTACAAAGACCTTCTTACCTGACAAGTTGCTGACAAATCTGACATCCTGGAAGGCATCTGTAAGAAATATTTAAAGATATGACTAAACTTCTCACATAATTCACACAGTGAGCAATTCACCAACAACCATAGGCCATTCTTACAAACTGAAGGACAAACTGTGGTGGGAAAGTTGTAAAGTCCATTGTAAGCTACAAATAGCTTAAACTGAAAGGGCAAGTGTTGAAGACCATTCTGTTCCTTGTTAAATGCTCTGGAAATTTTAACAGCTTCCTAATTACTTTGTTTGCATTTGCAAATTTTCCATGTGCTGCAATTGTGGCTATAAATTCTAAAGGCTTCTCATGTCACATGATTTCAAGGAATGTGGTGAATTATTTACAATAATTTGAAAATTCTACAGCATTTAGTTCTTTTTCTGTTAATAAACAAAGTACTTAAATAAAAAATAGTAACCTGACCTAGCACAACAAAGGAGATTTATAAGTGTTTTTTAAGGAAAAGAGTGAAATAGAATTTCTCAACCTCAGAAGAAAAGGGTTCTCAGCTGCTGTCACATATAGGAAGCTTAAGAAAAAAATGGTGATCTGAAATCCATAATTACAATAGTAAATATTACAGGGGGACAAAACTGCCTTAAAAATACCAATTTTATATCTATTTCCATTCTGTCTTTGTTTTATCTGTGACACAAATGTCATGACTATGCATGTCAAACTCAATCATTGTAGGAACTCTCAAATTATACCTGTAACACTTGGTGAAAGTCAGCTAGATACACACTAGAGTTATCACTAACTTGCTTGATTTCACACCTCTAAGTTAAGATAAGGTAAAAACAGCATATGAGATATGCTAAATATTCTTAGCCTCAGCCTCCCCTCTAGAAATATACTTCCCCATTTTTCAGCCTAGTTTTTTTCTCCTTTAAGAACTTAAGGATGAAATATTATTACACATCACATGAAATCTGAACAGTTCCCATTTATCTGTTTTCCCTAGAACCAAGTATTTCTTCAGCATTTTTTTGTGTAATTTTTTTCCCCACCCCAGTTCTTGCTTTTCTTTATTCTTTGAATTCTTCACTCCTTTTTTCTACACTGTCAGGTTGATTTTCACACCTCACCCTACACTTACAATGATGTTCTTTAAATTCCAGTGGAGGACGTCTCTATGAGACTCTCTGACTTCAGAAATGTCTTTTTCACACCCCCCTCACTAGAAACAGATCACAGACATCAGTAGGAGGAGTGGTAAGGAGCAGCAAAGGGAACAGGAGAACTTTTTTTTGAGATTTCTGCAAGGCCAAAGTTTCTTTTCAGAAAAAGAAAATCCAACTTACAGAGCAACAATCTCCAGTCACAAAAGCACAAACCCAAGACAGTATTTCATACAAAAAACCAGTCCAGCACTCAAGAGAATACTGACTTTTTTAATATTAAAGAGCAGCAATGAGTTCTTGCATCATTTCTCATTTACCTGTGGGGGTCTTTTGAACTCGGTATAATATACACACACTCCCTCTTGGTGAAAGTATTTTCTATCCAGGATTTCTGGGACTGAAAAACAAAGAATTTAACGAATTATAAAATACAAATCACATACCTTTGCAATGAAAAAAGCTTTTTAGGGAAACAGGAGCTAGAATATGAGGGGTTTGCTCTCTCAAAAACTAACAAAACCATGTAAGACCTTATGAAAGCATCTCACCCACCTCTCCAATAGCTGAGACAAACAGAATCATTATGTAATTTATACATAAATCATTTAAAATTAGAAGTAATATTTTTCAAAGCTAAGATAAATAGCAAAATTTTAATACATAAATAAATATGTACCCAAAAAAACACCCCATAAACAATTTTAAGACACACTGTTACCCTATCTTGCTAAGAAAAAAAAAATCAGGTAAAATTTAAAAAAATTACCTGCACTAAACTGAGATAATACTAGTTTGATCTATTTCTCTCTTTAATGAAGTAAAATTTTCATCTTGAAATTGTGGGTGAGGCAGCTTTCTAACAACACAGGCAATCTTTTCAACTAGCAATAAATAGGTCATAACCTTTGGTCTTCATCAAGACACTTTTCATTCCCGTAAATAAAATTAATTGGGATCTCTGAACTGTATTCTAAGGTTAAACTTGAAACATGTTCTGAAACATGAAATTAAGGATGGTCACTGCTTCAAATGCTTACTATTCTAATCACTGGACATAATTTCTTTCAGTTGCTTTAAACAACCACATGAACATTATCTCACATAATTATCTTAAGTTAGCTGCTAAACAACATCATAATGTGTAACATCTATGCCATGTTTCAGCAATACATTGGGAAAGACATTCAGACAGGACTTTAAGAAATTAAAAACATGAAAAAATCTTCGAATGCTAATTTGCATCTTATGCAACATCACTTTAAATCCTTACTGAGATGACATTAAAATTACTTCACTGCCTAACAACAATGTGCTACATTTACCTTTAGAAAAATTTTATAAATTTCACAGTTTTATTTTACAAGAAGGGGAAAAAGACTGATGGATATTATTCACAGGTATCCAATCAGAGGTCTGCAGCAGTGATGAAGAAATTAAGATTTTTTTTTTTTAGATTATAAGAGAAGTTTAAGCAAAGATGGATGCATTTTTCACTCACTGCAACTTCAACATCAGTTTAAGATAATAACAGAGCATTACTTTAAAACTGCAGTAGTTTAAGCTTAACTCTGCAGATCCTGCAGAATATAAAAAGATCCAGAAGAGTAATTCAATACTTAGATGTTTCAGCCAGCTGGCTAAAACCACACCTTGAAGCAAGAGATCACAGGCATAACACGCTAGATGTTAAAATCCAAAGAATATAAACCACAAGCAATTGCGTCAATTGCTCCACGCAATATTGTTTTATTATTGAGTGGTTATCAAAGCTGGGGACAAGGAACTCTGGCTCACAATGTGCAACACCACTTTTCATCATAATAATAAACATAATAAACACTTCCCAAAACAGAAAAGAAAAAACAAGGCCCCCAAAATAAAACAACTAACCACTCATCAATTTTTCTCTTAAAGAACGTAGTTTTAAGCCTTTATCAAGGATTTCTCTCAATTTTCCAACAGTGCAACTATTGTCACATCGCTACTATTTTATCAGTCACCCCAAAGTCACCCCAAGTCAGTTATTTATGTAGAAGAAGCTCTGTAAAGTTATTAAAATGAACGAGAAACTTCTTGGTAAAATTAGACTCCCTCCAGAAGCATGTCTGTATGCTAATTAATATTTATTGCAGAAGACTTTATACAGAATTTGCAAATTCCAGAGTCTTGCTTTCTTTTGAGAGAGGAGAAAAAAAAATTAAATACAAACCAAGAAGAGAAGAGAACTGAGTGAAAGACAATTCCCTTAAATGGGTAAAAATCACATTAAAAATGCAGGAAGTATTGCCTTTCATGTAAATAAGAACAATTATTACATAATCTTCCTGTGATGACCAGAAAAAGGAAGATGCTATGAGGACACTGTTGAGTATAAATTAGTTGTAGCAGTTACCTCTAAGAAATACTCCTCATCAGCTAAATATTAAGTTAAAATAGGACATCCAAATCTGAAGTCAAAAATCAATATGCAAGTTATCAGACTGTTTAAGAAAAATTGCCTACTCTTATTAAAGCTTTTTCATCATCTGAACAGGATACACAACCCCACCCCCAAACTGTTTCCAGTAAGAGGCAGCTCCTGTTGCTCCAAGTGCTCTGTTTTCCCAGTGTATTTTTAGAAGATGCACTTTACACCATGGTTATGGGTAACATGGGTCAGGAGCCTTTTAGCAAAAGGCACAAGTAACATCAACACAGAGATTTACTTTTCAACTATTTACTTTTTTGTTTTTCAAAATTGTGGAAGAAAAAAGCTTAGCTTCCCATATTCCTTCTTGTGCATTCTCAATCTCTTAAGTAAATAAAACACTATTTTAAATAAATGCGTCCTCTCCCAACACTTTCACCAATACTGAAATAATTCTAATTGCTATTTGAAACAAAACTTACACAAGTACTTACTGAACTACAAACTCAAGAGAACATGCCCAATTATTTCCAACTTCTGCAAGTATCTAAATGCCAAGATAATCCCATGGCCTTTTGTACCAGGTGGAAGTTTTACCATAGCCATTTTATTATTAACTATATTTGACATAGCAGTAGCATTAGCACTCCAAAGCTCCAATAACAGAGATTATTTAAATGTACTTGCTCAAGATTTATATGTTATCTTTACTGAAATTCATACTGGATAACTTTGGCAAGTCTCTTTAGAGAATGGAATTTTTACCACAAATTATAATTTCATGTTTTGTATATAGCAGGTGAAAAAAGAAAATTTAAAATAAGAGAAACCATCCCTGAAGTACAGTATGAGATCAAGTCTCAGAAATAAAAAACAACCCCCTACCACTCTCCTCCCTTCAGCTCATGTGTTTTTAAGAGCCTCTCATTTAATATATTAAAATAAAAGGACAATTAAGTTCTAGCAATTGATGCACAGCAATAGGGCAAAGCCTTATCAAGCCATTGTGAAATTCCCAAAGTTTATTCAACAGGTTTGGTCTGAATTATTTTCTCTATAGAAAATAAGCCCACCTGCTTGTCAAGATCTCAAAATGACTTTCATGATTTTGAAATAACATAAATATGGCAGGTATAAATAATATTTGTAGCTGGCAATCCTGAACTACTTCATGCACAAAGGGGTCCCAGTTTATTTTTTCCTCCTCTTTTGTGATACTGTATACTGTTGTAAGATAATAAGTTACAATGTTGTAACGATGTTTGTTACAAAACTAAAATTTCACTTTTCCCAACTATATTGCCCTGGAGCCTGCCACAGTGCATACCAACCCAGCAGTTCTCCTGACAGGTTTTCAATAAAGCTCCCCACTGAATCAGCAAAGTGACCTGAATTAATAAATAATTTGCTAAACCGTGACCTTTTTGGAGGGCTGGTAAAGGGGATTTTAGTTACTGATAGCATAGACTGAGCTTCAAATTTAGAAATCATATCACTTTCCACACAGTCTCATATTTCATCTTTCAAATCTCTGCTTACACCATATGGCAGTTCAATACATGCAATACTTCCTCAAGGAAAAGATCCACCAATTTTATTTATCCTTTATTTAAAAACTAATATAGACTCTATATTGTTTCTCCACTGCCTCAGGTTTTCCAAAACGTTTATTTTCCATCTGGACAGAAGAAAATACAGGAAAGTTTTCAGTTTCAAGCCTGAAAACAAGAAGGCACAGTGGAAACTATGTGCAGCAGGAACAGTCGTGCTAGCAGTGCTGCAGAGCAGTCCTATCTGCCTAGGTCACTATAGCCAACCAGATAAATGTCAAAACATTTCTAAGAGACATACTGTACTAACAATGTCCTTTATCTTGTCTATTCAAGGAATTGTCCACTGACATTGTTCCAACTTGAAGTTGCTGCTTCTTATGTAACCATACATACCACAGCACTCTTCGTGACCTACCAGAGGATCTCTTATCTGAGAAACCCACTCCATTATCCAAGCACGTGCTACACCATGGGACTGACCTGTGATCCCTGCCCAGACAACCAGCCCCAGCCAGGCACTGGGCTCCTGCAGCTATAGCTGAAAGGCAGAAATTCCAGACAAACCTCTATCTTATTGCTTTTATGCTAGATACATTGAATAAAGCCAAACAGCCCTGATAAATACCACGTTCAATTAGGTTAATGCGTACCAAGTCGTTTAGAATTCAGAAAGCTTCTTGTGGGAAGAGAAGCCATAAATAAAATGCATCAAATGAAAAGTTGCAAGTATGTTTTAATAATGTTACAGAGCCTCCTCTACATCAATAACTCACTAAAAAGATTTCTAGTAAGTGCTTCAAATCCTTAAGGCAGTAAGGACCACACTCCATGTAAAGCACCTGGACTTGTTTTTAGCACAAATTAACTGAATTACACTGAAAATGTGCACCCCAGGATGAGTTGAGTAACTAAGCCATTGTGTATGGGGTGCAGAGCTAGCTGAAAGACAGTTACATCTATCTACCAAAGAAAATACTTTAAATTCTATATTAAAAATGCCAGCAGAGCACATCTCAGTTCCTCAAGGAAATATTTATCACTTGAGTAAACTCTTCAAAACTTCAGCTAACTAAGCAAATAAGCAGATGGAAGGAAAAAAAAAGTTATATACTTTAATGCCTTATATTTGTTACCAGTTGTTTTAAACTCTTGGCTCCGTCAAACCCCAGGCATTTAATTTACTGGCTCTCCCTTCAATTTAAAGTTATATATTTCTATAATTTTAGTTTGGGGGTTCTTGTTTTCTTTTTTAAAAGAGGGGGAAGAAAACAAAGCATTTAGCCAGCTAGTATTATGAACTATATTTAAAAGACTCTTTGACACAGAATAACAGTGCTGTCTCTCCAGACAAGGCACAACATACAACAGAGCAGCTACAAAACTTGTTCCTGAATCTGTATCTACAGTATCAGTCAACCTCAATTTTTTGTACTAACT